TATTTATTTATTTTTTTTTTAATGGGACAGTGTTTTGCTCTTGTCACCCAGGCTGGAGTGCAGTGGCGTCATCTCGGCTCACTGCAACCTCCACCTCCCAAGTTCAAGCGATTCTCCTGACTCAGCCTCCTGAGTAGCTGGGATTACAGGTGCGTGCCACCACGCCCAGCTAATTTTGTATTTTAGTAGAGATGGGGTTTCACCATGTTAACCAGGATGGTCTGGAACTCCTGACCTCAAGTGATCCGCCCACCTTGGCCTCCCAAAGTGCTGGGATTACAGGCGTGAGCCGCTGTGCCCAGCCACAGTTAAATATTTTTAATGGTTTGCTTAAAGCATTAGAAAATTACAATATTGTGTTATTTTTCTAAGTATCTATTTTTGTTGTGGATAAGAAAATTGTAATAACTGTTACTGCTTAAGTGATCCCTTCTCTGGACCCACTGTGTCCCTCTAGCTGTTGCTTTTTTTCTCCTTGTCTTCATGGGAGACTTTTAAAGCAGTATTTCTCAAACTTTTTTGGTCTCAGGACTTCTTTACACTCTTAAACTTTGAGGATTCTAAATAAGTTTGTTTATTATTTATTTATTTTGAGATGGCGTGTCACTCTGTGGCCCAGGCTGGAGTACGGTGGTGTGATCTTGGCTCTCTGCAACCACCACCTCCCGGGTTCAAGCGATTCTCCTGCATCAGCCTTCCGAGTAGCTGGGATTACAGGCATGTGCCACCACGCCCAGCTAAGTTTTTGTATTTTGTAGTAGAGACAGGGTGTCACCATGTTGGCCAGGCTGGTCTCGAACTCCTGACCTCAAGTGATCGTCCTGCCTTGGCCTCACAAAGTGCTGGGATTACAGGTGTGAGCCACCGCCCCCGTCCCCAAATAAGTTGATGTTTGTCTGTGTTCACCATATTAGAACTTATAACCAACAAATGTTATTTATTCATTTAAAAGCAACAATTAGAAGCCCACTACATGTTATTACAAATGATATTTTAATGAAAAAGAACCTTATATTTAAAAAATTGTAGTGAAAAGAATGACATTGTTTTACATTTTTGTGAATCTCTTTAATATCTAGCTTGATAAAAGAGCTGAATTATCATATCTTCTGCATTCACTTTGTTGCAGTATGTTATTGTGATTGAAGCATGTCAAGAAGATGAGGCCTCACTTAAATATGAAGTAGGAAAAAAGATATTAATAGTACAGTATTATAAAATAATTGTATATAGTCTTCTTTGATACCATATCAAAACTTAACAAGTAGTAATTTCTTAAAAGTAAATTGCAGTTTGGAATCTGAAACTATGTGAAGGAACTTCTGGTACTTGTTAAATTAAAATCCATTGGTTTTCTTGCACTGAATGGATCTTTTGCCCATCCATGATTTGGTAACATGATATATAGGTCATTTGGAAAACAACAAGTCATTGAATTATGCAGATCTTCCATATGTTGATATATTTATTCCCTTACATAATATTTAAAAAATTACATTGGTTAATATCACCATCAGTCTCCTCAAAAGTTCTAAGTATGGCAGATAACAAATTTTCCAAAATCCTGATTACTACTTGAAAGCTTGTATTTTATCTTTGGCAGCAAATACTGTCAGTTGTTTTCTTTGAAGTGACAGGCTTGCTTTCCTAATTTTTAAGAAAATGTCTGCCAGATATCCAACTCTGAATAGCCATAATTTGTTGATTGTTCTTTCAAGTAAGCATGGTAAATGGTGTTGTAAGAAAAAAGTAGCTAATTCAGCTTGCAACTTAAACAGTAGCAAAAGTGATTTTCATTGAGAAAACCATGGTGCTTCTATTAGGCAAGAGAAGTGTTTTATATTTACTTTCCATCTTGTCAGAATATTAAAGAGATGTCTACTAATTGGTCAGGATTTAATAAAATTAGAAGTTTTAAACTGCTTAATCAAGATATCCTTACATGAAACTGGCAGTTTTTCTTTTTCCTGTGAGCAATTGGTGGTGAAGAACAGCAGTGGTCATTAGTACCATTTGCTGCTGTTGTCTTGATTTGTTCTAAGATGCCCACAGTTTCACCCACCATTGCTCTTTGAACCATTAGTAAATGCCAGGATGGCGATAAAATATATGCTATCCTAGTTTTACTGTGAATATAGTTTTGACCTCCGGGACTTCCCATAAGGGTCTCAGGACTGTAGCATTTTGTGGACTTCATTTTGAGAAGTGCTGCTCTAAGGAGCTCTGCTCTGTCCTATCAGTTCATAACCACCTGATGCTCTCTTCCACTTGTTTTTCTGAATATGCTCTCAATGGTTGTTCCTCCTCAGCGTAAGCAAAAAACTAAGCAAAGAAACTTTCATTCCTCCTTTTCCTTATTCCCCACATTTAGCCTCTCAGTAAGTTCTGTCAGTTTTCCCTTTAGAATGTCGGCCGGGCGCGGTGGCTCAAGCCTGTAATCCCAGCACTTTGGGAGGCCGAGACGGGTGGATCACGAGGTCAGGAGATCGAGACCATCCTGGCTAACATGGTGAAACCCCGTCTCTACTAAAAAAAAAAATACAAAAAACCAGCTGGGCGAGATGGCGGGCGCCTGTAGTCCCAGCTACTCAGGAGGCTGAGGCAGGAGAATGGCGTGAACCCAGGAGGCGGAGCTTGCAGTGAGCTGAGATCCGGCCACTGCACTCCAGCCTGGGTGACAGAGCGAGACTCCGTCTCAAAAAAAAAAAAAAAAAAAAAAGAATGTCTCCCCAATCCATCACCAGACTCTTTTCACCTCCATCTCTACAACTGGGAGACCCACCATCCTCTCTCTCCTGGGCCACACAGTAGCCTTGAAATTGGTCTCCTGCTTTTGCCCCTTGCCCACCTCCCACTTCTCATCTCTTAAGATTTTCTCTGTTTGCTGTGTTTCAGGCATGTTGATTTTCTTCATGTTGCTTGGACATGTCAGCTTCTTTCTCCCTTAAGACCATGCTGTTCCCTCCCTGGGCTTTTCACATGGCTTGTCTCTTGTCATTCTCATATTGCCAAAGCTTACTGGGCTATCCCCCTACTGCTTTTTGTGCTGCCACATCACCTTCTTTTAATAATTCTTCACAGTATTCATCACCATCTGAGTTTACTTGTTTATGTATTTATTTAGTTGTTAACTTAGAGATGTTAGATAAGTGTGGGGTAGAGGAAAGGTCTAAACTGGAGAAATAGAATTAGGCATCAGCAGGATATAATGATGTTGATATTCCCAGAGCTTTCTGAGTGGAGTGTTGGACTGAAGCCAGGCTAGAGAGTGAAGGGGTGAGTGAGATAGAGGCACTGGAGAAAGCAAAGTTTTCTGTGAAGTTTTACCTTATTAGGAGGAGAAATGGTAGGGCAGGTATTTGGTAGAGGGAGAGTCGGGATTTGAGGCTTTTTGTTTTTATTTTTATTTTTATTTTTTTAATTTTTTTAATTTTTGAAACGGAGTCTCGCTCTGTTGCCCAGGCTGGAATGCAGTGGCGTGATCTCGGCTCACTGCAAGCTCCGCCTCCTGGGTTCACGCCATTCTCCTGCCTCAACCTCCCGAGTAGCTGGGACTACAGGTAACCAACACCACGCCTGGCTAATTTTTTTGTCTTTTTTAGTGGAGACGGGGTTTCACTGTGTTAGCCAGGATGGTCTCAATCTCCTGACCTCGTGATCCGCCCACCTTGGCCTCCCAAAGTGCTGGGATTACAGGCGTGAGCCACCGCGCCCGGCCTGTTTTTATTTTTGTAAAATATGTGATACTTAAGGAGATTTAAATGTGGATGCGAAAGTTCCAGATGAGAGGGAGATGTAAAATATTTGAGAAACAGAAAGAGAGGCAGATAGGTATAGAATTTTGGAAAATAGGAATTTAAGGGTTTTTTGTCTGGTTGCTGAGCATAAGCAGGGAGGTGGGACTGGGTGATTTGAAATAGTCGTTGAGAGTAGCAGTTGTGGAGAGTGAGAGAGAATTGGTAGGATTGCTGGCAGAATCTAAGTGCCATTTGCAGTTGGAGAGCAGAGACCAATGCCAAAACCAATCTACCCAGTGGTGTGGTATAGAGGTATGGCTTTCTCCAATACAGCTTAGGTTTGTTTTTTTTTGTTTGTTTGTTTTACCTCCACCGCCCCCCCTCTTTTTTTTTTCCTGATTCAATCTTAGAGCAGATAACTGGTTTCCTGTAGAACAGAGCTTTTGCCAGCCAGTGTCATGAAAAATCAGAGGGGCTGGCAAATTTAGAGGATTGGCAGGCATGTTTATGAAATGACGTAGTGTGGAATCTGAAGTTGAATAAGGAAGTGCAGAAATGGTAAGGCTAATTGGTTGGTTCAGAGGCCATTAAAGAGTGGCCACTGAATGGACTGTAAGGCCCAGAATCATGGACCACATCAATTTTGTTTCCCATTGCATGTTTAGTAGTCTTGCACATGGAGAGTACTAAATAAATCTTTGACAAATGAAGGAGTACTGATGGGGCAGTTGTTAGACTGTGTTACATATTATTAATTTAAAAATCTGAATTTTTGTATTCTCAAATGTCTGATAGTTACGATAATTTTATTATAAATTCCTTTTTTTTATTCTTTTCAGGCCAAATAGAATAATGAGACTTCGTTTCAATCATTTTGCTACAGAGTGTAGTTGGGACCATTTATACGTTTATGATGGGGACTCAATTTATGCACCGCTAGTTGCTGCATTTAGGTAAGCTCAGTCATATAAGCGTTCTTTCATCATTGTTTGATTCTAAATTTAAACATATCTTCTGGATTGCATTCTTACTGGGTTCACCTTTATTATCACTTAACACATTTATTTTATGGAAAAAATACTAGTTCTTGAGTCCCACCATCACTTGTGTGTTAGTGCTAACTTGATTTCTGTAGCCCTGAGTAAGTTTCTAGGCATAGTACGTGACTTCTCTCTTCAGTTTCCTGATCTGTAAAATTGTGATAGTTCTATTAAGTTCACCTGCTCCTTCTGGTGGTGGTGAAGTTTATCATTACAAGATATTTTGAAAGTAATATATTGAATGAAACTATTTCTGTGAAAAATTTAAATCAGGAATAACATCCATCACGTTCCTTGTGTAGTGCCCATTGCATAGGCCTTCAGGAGTTATTTGTTGAATTCAGATATAACTGTGTGTGTATATGTATGTGCATCATGAGTGAGGGAAACTTTTTGGAACAGTACACATAAAATGAACAGTGGCTACCTGTGGAGAAATCAGGAACACACTTATTATATATATTTTTTTCAATAAGTACATTTACATTAGTAGTTAAACAGAAGCAATTTAACACCAAATATATGGAGTGTTCTGAATTGTTAGGGTGTTTTACTTTTGATTAGCAACAAGTAGCTGTGTTGTTTGTTATGTTTTTGGCCACATGGGAATTCAAAACTGTCTCTAATTTTCTTCCTTTTACTTGATAGAGGATTTTAAAATACAGTCATGTGTCACTTGGCAACAGGAATACGTTTTGAGAAATGTGTTATTAGATGATTTCATCATTGTGTAAACATCATAGGGTGTATTTACACCAATAGATGGTATAGCCTACTGTACATCCTGCTGATATGGTACAGCCTATTGTACCTAGGCCACGAATCTGTACAGCATCTTACTGTACTGAATACTGTAGGTAATTGTAACCCAATGGTATTTGTATATTTAAACATATCTATACATGGAAAGGTACAGAAAAAATACAGTATTGTAATCTTATACAACCTCTGTCATATATGTGGTCCGTTGTTGACCAAGTGTCATTATGTGGTGTATGACTGTATATTTTTCTAAAATGCATATCCTCTTAGGAAACCACCTGCAACTGGCTTTCTAAATTTCTTTGTCTCAAACGTTTTATTTCCTTTACTTTAAAAAGAAATCAGTTCAACAAATATTTTTTGTGTTTCTCACGTGGGACTTGTCTGGCTGATGTCCTGTGTGGGTGAGGGAGTTAACAGGGAGCAAACAGTACACAAGGACAGGAGATCAGGTGACTGTTGTGTCCTCGTGTTTTTCTACCCGCTTTGGCTTAGAAATCTCTCTGACGTATCTTTGAACCGAGAACCAAGGCCATTTTCTGGGTTTTAAAGGTTCACTTACAAGGCCAAAGAGCAGGGTGGATGGCTGTGCTGAACATTTAAAGTGGCATTGGCCAAGTGTTGGAGTGTGTATCTTTATGCCAGCATTTGAAACGTAACTTGTAGCAAGAAGCATCCCAAACTTTAACACAGGCCCAAAAACTAAGTGTGATGTTATCATAATAGTACTTGTTGGGGATTCACTTGTTACTGTGTTTGTTAATCAGAATTCATGGAGCTCTTGTTGTATGCCAGGCACTTTGAATCAGCTTATCAGGAGCCTTGTAGGAACATGAGCCAAGCAGGGGTACATCACTCTGTGGTTCACCTGGATGGTATATTTGATAAACAGTGGTAGCAGCGGTAGAGCAGAGAGAGTGATTGAGAAAATTCTTCAAAAGAACATTATTCCTTTTAGAGTTTTTTTTTTTTTTTTTTTTAAAGAAAGTTATGTGCTGGTGTGTGCTTTTTAAAGAAAGTTGTTAGACTGTGTGATCTAGAGGAACCCTTCCCCTTCCCCCTTTCCTTTTCCCCTTTCCCCTTCTCCTTCCCACTTCCCCTTCCCCTTTTCCTTCCCTTCCCCTTCCCCTTCCTCTTCCCCTTCCCTTTTCCTTTTCTTTCTCCCCCAGGCTGGAGTGTAGAGGCAGGAACGTAGCTCACTGCAGCCTCAACCTCCTGGGCTCAAGAGATGCTCCCACCTCAGCCTCCCTAGTAGCTGGGACCACAAGAATGCAACACTATGCCCAGCTAATTTTTTTTTTTTTTTTTTTTTTTTTGTGGAGATGGAGTCTCACAATGTTGCCCAGGCTGGTCTTGAACTCCTGGGCTCGAGCAGTCCTCCTGCCTTGGCCTCTCCAAAGTGTTGGGATTACAGGTGTGAGCCACTGCATCCAGCTGAAGATTGCTTTGGCATACCTGTTTCCAGGTGGCCCTGGTCTTGTCAGTACTTATTCCTTCAGCATTTCAAGGGATTCTGGTGTATATAACCAGTGAAAGCATGATGATGGTTAATCCTTCATTTACATCTCCAGTCAAATGTCACCTCTTCCAAGAGGCCTTCCTTTCACCCTTTCTAAAGTAGCACCTTCTATTCTTTCCCTCTGCTCTCCTTCCCTTCATAGCGTTTGTCTCTACCTGGCATTATGTATGTGGGGAGTATCTGGGCTTATTTGTTGTTTTTCTAATGTGAACTACATGAAGGCAGGGACATAGTCTTATTCACTGTTGTATTCCTGGTACCTAGAACAGTGTCTCACAGGTAGTAAATATTTATTAGTTGAATACATAGTAGAAAATGCATCAGTATTTTGTAACTCCTGGAGCACCAGAGTTTCAGAGTTCCTAGAGTTCTGTCTTCATATTAAAAATTGAAGGGCCAGGCGTGGTGGCTCACACCTGTAATCCCAGCACTTTGGGAAGCCAAGATGGGCGGATTGCCTGAGGTCAGGAGTTCAAGACCAGTCTGGCCAACATGGTGAAACCCCATCTCTACTAAAAATACAAAAAAAAAAAATCATCTGGGCTTGGTGGTGTATGCCTGTAATCCTAGCTACTCAGGAGACTGAGGCAGGGGAATTGCTTGAACCAGGGAGGTGGAGGTTGCGATGAGCCGAGATTGCGCCACTGTGCTCCAGTCTGGGTGACAGAGGGAGACTCTGTCTCAAGAAAAAATATATATATATATTGAATAAAGGGCCAGGCACAGTGGCTCAGGCCTGTAACCGCAACACTTCGTGAGGCCGAGGCAGGAGGATTACTTGATCCCAGGAGTTCGAGACCAACCTGGGCAACAGGGTGAGACCTCATCTGTACAAAAAATTTTCAAAATTAACCAGCCGTGGTGGTGTGTGCCTGTAGTCCCAGTCACTCAGGAGGCTGAGGTGGGAGGATTGCTTGAGCTCAGGAGGTCAAGACTGCAGTGAACTGTAATCGTGCCACTGCACTCTAGCTTGGGCGACAGAGTAAGACCTTGTCTCAAAACAAAACAAAGCAAAACAAAAGAAATGAAAATCCCTTTCCCTCTTCATTTTGATTCCTTGCTTATGGACTCTTCCAGTCATTTTTGTATGCATTTATATAGGTACATGTAAGTGTACACATGTACTAGGCCCATTGTTTTGCAGCTTGCTTCTCCCCTATGCCCTTATCAGAATGCCTGATGAGCCGCTTTTTAGTCCCGCAGACCTATGTAATATGCAGTGACTTATGCAGTCAGATTTCTGGGCATGAGCATTTAGATGGGTTCCAACCTGTTGCCATCTGAACAGTGCTGTGGTTAGGATTCTTGTATATTGGTCATTGTGTACATGAGCAAGTATTTTTTCTACAAAGAAATAGAATTGCTAGGTCAGAGTGAATGAGCATGAGGTTGTATGTCTGGGACAGATTGCGTAGGGCTTGACAAGGATCTTGGCTTTTACCAAATATGATGGTAGTGGTGGTGGTCGCGAATCAATAATGAGGCAAAAATCATGGACATATGAAGAAATGCAACAGCAGGTAGACATAAGAAAAACGATTAACCTCAGGAGTAAAAAGAACTCAGAACCACAATTTAAAAATTTCTTTTTACTTATTAAATTAGCAAAATTAAAATAGAACCTAGTAGTCCTTGCTGTTGGCAGAGTGAAGTGGGATGGACCCTTCATTCTGTATTTATATGATTTCAAGTTACATATCTCTTCTGGAAAGCAAGTTGGTATTATGGCTCTAGAGTCTTAAAGGCATCATTTAGACCTTTTTATCAGTGTTTTTTTTGTTTGTTTGTTTGTTTTATACCAGTCACACAACAAACATTTAGAATCTATTATGTGCTGGGTTGTGAGTGAGGTCCTAAGGAGAACCTAGGGAGCTTTTAATGATATAGAAAATGCATATGTTTTATTTGTAAAATAGAATATACAATGTAAATAACATCAATTAGGCTAAGAAAATGCATTAGAATGCTAACAGTGTTGGAGTTATGGGTGTTTGTTTAGCTTCTTCATATTCTTATATAAATATTTTATATAAAATATCTTGGGCGCTGTGGCTCACGCCCGTAATCTCTACATTTTGGGAGGCCGAGGTGGGTGGATCACCTGAGGTCAGGAGTTCGAGACCAGCCTGACCTACATGATGAAACGCTGTCTCTACTAAAAATATAAAAAAATTAGCTGGGCATGGTGGCGGGCACCTGTAATCCCAGCTACTCAGGAGACTGATGCAGGAGAATCGCTTGAACCCCGGCACACAGAGGTTGCACTGAGATTGCGCCACTGCACTGTAGCCCGGGCAACAAGAGCAAAACTCTGTCTCAAAACAAACAAACAAACAAACAAAAATAACTCATGTCTTTCAGCAATATATGTGTAGTATTCATCACTCATAAAATTTGTAACTTTACGTGATTGTGGAAGTTTATTTTTTCAAAGAAGCACTATAAAAAGTTTTATAAGAAAAAGAATAGGGTCCTTGATTTCAAATCTCATTAGAAATACAACTCAGAATAAAGGAAGCCTAGCAAAAGATTCAGATCTGTTCCTCAAGGATCCAGAACTAGTAGGGTAGCACTATGTATTTATCACAGGAATTTGCCTCTCTTCCTGGATGTGGTTTTTAAATTATAAGGACGGATTTGTTTTAAATTTGTGTCTGCTACAATTTGACATGTCTGTGCTTGTGCTTCCCTCTATAAGAAGTGTGTTTTCATTTCAGTGGCCTCATTGTTCCTGAGAGAGATGGCAATGAGACTGTCCCTGAGGTTGTTGCCACATCAGGTTATGCCCTGCTGCATTTTTTTAGTGATGCTGCTTATAATTTGACTGGATTTAATATTACTTACAGGTAAGATTCTTAAGTCTAGTATTTGTGGTTTCATTCAGGAGACTATCTACTATGTTTTAACAACAATAATGGCTAACATAGATTGAGAGCTTACAGTGTGCCAGGCGTAGCATCAGGCAGTTTACATGGATTTTCTCATTTAAAATTTTTCTATAAATTCATTGAGGTCTGGGCTCTGTTTTTCTACTCATTTATAATTGAGGAAACTGACAGGAAAAGGTTAAGTAGATTGTCAAAGTAAATGATGGGAACACAATTTAAACCCAGGTGTTGCTGCTGTTGAACTTCTCGTAGAAGAGGGGGACTTTTCTGCTAATGGACAAAAACATTGGAATTTTACAAAGTACAGCTCAACAAATATTAGTAGTTGTCATGTACTCAATAGTAGGAGAAATCTATATCATTAAAGTACTTTGATAGCTCATTTATCCCCCTCTTTTAAATTCTGAATTACATTGTTTCAAAGCACTGTCAGTACAAGTATCTTATGTTATTATGGGATGCATTATAGTTCAATTCTTTTTTTGTTTTTTGAGACAGAGTCTAACTGTCATCTGGGTTGGAGTGCAGTGGCACGATCTCGGCTCACTGCAACCTCCACCTCCTGGGTTCAAGCAATTCTCCTGCCTCAGCCTCCTGAGTAACTGGGATTACAGGCACCCGCCACTATGCCCAGATAATTTTTTGTATATTTAGTAAAGATGGGGTTTCACCATGTTGGTCAGGCTGGTCTCGAACTCCTGACCGTGATTCTTCTGCCTCTGCCTCCCAAAGTGTTGAGATTATAGTTGTGAGCCACTGTACCTGGCCATAGTTCAATTCTTACATTAAGTTAAAGTAGCCTGCCTTCTTCCGTCTGAAATGAGTAGATAAAATTACTAAGGAATTTTAAATATACCAATCTGGGCAGTAACCTTAAATTCTATTATATACAAATTTTCAGAGACTATACAGAGGAATATGTACCATGAGGATGGTGGTTTATTGTTGGCAGTGTGTTTTATTCTTTTCCTTTCCAAACTTGCAACCATGAACTCAGCAATTCTGTAAAGCTTATCATTAGCAGGCTACTAAGAAGAATAGGATAATCCTCCCACCCTTGAGGAGCTGACAGTTCTGCAAAAATCTCCTCCCTTCTTGTAATTTCTTTGACTTTATGAGTTATTTATTCTTATCCTCTTATTATGAGAATCCAGCAGGGTTGATTTGATTTCATTACTTGTACCTCAGGCTCTAGCTATGCAGTGTTGAGCAAACCCATTTGGACTGAATCTTTTAAGTACTGAAGTTATGCTTGTGAATGAACTGAGACAGTGAGATTCTTAAACCTGTGTGGGAGAAAGTTCTGCTAAGTTAATCGAAGTGTTGTGTTGTGTTCTGTTAATGTAATTTTCCCTGCTATTTTCACAGTTTTGACATGTGTCCGAATAACTGCTCAGGCCGAGGAGAGTGTAAGATCAGTAATAACAGCAATACTGTTGAATGTGAATGTTCTGAAAACTGGAAAGGTGAAGCATGTGACATTCCTTACTGTACAGACAACTGTGGTTCTCCTCGTCGAGGCATCTGCAATTCAAGTGATATCAGAGGATGCTCCTGCTTCTCAGGCTGGCAGGGTAGGAGCTTCTTTCATTTTTATTTTTTCTTCTATTTATAGAACATTCCCAGCTAAATAAATAGATTGACTTTATTCTTAGCACCTATATAGTTTATATTAATCAAATACCAGGTAGCATTTAAGCTTGAAACATCACTCTATACAGCTGCTTATGAATTTCAATTTCATAGATGTGTGGTTGTGGTCTCTAGAATTATGGAGGGTAGGCCGTTTTTTGTAACCTGTTTGTGAAAGTTGAAGAACTTGGACTCGATCATAAAAGGATGTAGCAGAGAGCCAAGCTGGGAGATCGGACAAGAGCTGACAATAATGATATTTCCTCAGAAACACACTCTAAGTTCAGAGAAAATTGGAATCAGTTATATATTGGAATCTTAAAAGGAGTTAGCGAATAGTATTATCTACAGAAATAATTAAAGAAGCTTTAGGGAATTCTTTAAGGGATGAGTGATAATAACTGTTATTAATTTGGTAATTTTCCTTGTAAACTTACCCCTTCCTCAGAACCTTTTTATTTTGAAAGGAAATATGCTTGTTTAAATTTAGTTTGTTGGGTTTGGCTGACATTGTAGAGTTAATAATTGAAGCATTTCAGTATCTACCATTGTGCAAATATTGCAGCAGAAGCCAAACCTCCCAAGAATGGAGCCTGTCTCTTCAGTTTGTTTAAGTTTCTTGATTTACCAGAATATGGATAGTTTGTATGATTGCTCCCAGGTCTAGTTATCACACTTATTCGTCCATACCCACAAATTCTGCATCTGCAATTTCAAACAACCGTGTGTAGAAAATATTCAGAAAAAAACACAATAAAAGATAATACAGGCTGGGCATGGTGGCTCACGCCTATAATCCCAGCACTTTGGGAGGCCAAGGCAGGCAGCTCACCTGAGGTCAGGAGTTCGAGACCAGCTTGGCCAACATGGTGAAACCCTGTCTCTACTAAAAAATACAAAAATTTAGCTGGGCATGGTGGCAGGCACCTGTAATCCCAGCTACTCAGGAAGCTGAGGCAGGAAAATATCTTAAACCCTGGAGGCGGAGGTTGCAGTGGGCCGAGATCATACCACTGCACTCCAACATGGGTAACAGAGTGAGTGAGATTCCGTCTCAAAAAAAAAGATAACACAAATAAAAGATACACATATGAAAACCATTTACATAGCATTTACATTGTGTTAAGTATTATAAGTAATCTAGACGTGAGTTAGAGTATATGGCAGGATGTGTGTAGGTTATATGCAAGTGCTACACTACTAGTTTAAATTAGGGACTTTGAGCATCTGTGGATTTTGGTACCAAGGGGGTCCTGGAACCAATCCCCTGTGGATATTGAGGGATAACTATATATTTTATCCTTAAGATTTTTCATGTGAATTAATTATTTATTTATCTGGGCTTTCTCCTGAGAGTTGCTTAAGCAGGTATTTCATTACCAAAAAAACTCTAACCTGGATATAGTCAAGTCATCATTAGAAAGTATGTGATTTACCCTTGGTCAATGCCCTGAATAAATTAAAATAACAAATTAAAGGATTTGTCTGATATTTAAAAGGTAAAGGAAAGACTATTATTTAAATATTTGTTACATTTAGATGATGAAAACTTGAAATGCAGTAAGCTTTAAAGCTGTATTTTGTGAAACTAATTCATTATGTTTTTATTAGGTCCTGGATGTTCAGTTCCTGTACCAGCTAACCAGTCATTTTGGACTCGAGAGGAATATTCTAACTTAAAGCTCCCCAGAGCATCTCATAAAGCTGTGGTCAATGGAAACATTATGTGGGTTGTTGGAGGATATATGTTCAACCACTCAGATTACAACATGGTTCTAGCGTAAGTTGTTTTAAACATTTTTGCAAGAAGCTTAGTTTTTTATTTTGAAAATTTATAAAGCACAGATAAGCAAAAATAAATCACCAGTAATTCTACTACCTAAGGAAAATCTCTGTTAATATTTTGGTAGTAGTCTTTCAAATTGTTTTAACATATGTTGAGTTTTTAAAATTGAATGCTACAAAAAATTCATTGTCATGATACGCATTCATGTTTTTCAAATACTGTCTCTGATGTTTTGCTTTAAGTTTTGTAGTAAGTTCTATATAAGTAGGGGATTACTTTATATTTAATTTAATTAATAGTTCCAAGGTCAAATGGTTTGAATTTATAGTTTGCTAGTGGAAATTATACCATCGTCTAATACGTCCCAGGGTTCAAAGTCTATTTGCTGATCCCATGCTGCTCATTTTGAAGGGAGAATATGTGTTGTCATAGTGGAATTAGTTGTGGAGGTGGACTTGTAGAAAAAAATTTATAAATTTAATCTTGCTGATTTTATTACCTGGAACTTTTTTCTAGGCATTTTCTATTAATGAAGATTGTCCAAAAAACCAGCATCTGTTCATTAAGGGATTCTGGAAATATGGCAGCGGTGGCCTAGTTTCTGCATCCCCCCATAGTCGTTAAAACACATTGCACTACTAGTCTAGCAAAATCAAAGAAACACAAGCAAATTCTGTAATAAAACTTGGTCAGACTGGGCACAGTGGCTCATGCCTATAACCCCAGCACTTTCAGAGGCTGAGGTGGGTGGATCACTTAAGATCAGGAGTTTCAGACCAGCCTGGCCAACATGATAAAACCCCATCCCTACTAAAAATATAAAAATTAGCCAGGCATGGTGGCGGGCACCTGTAGTCCCAGCTGCTCAGGAGGCTGAGGCAGGAGAATTGCTTGAACCTGGGAGACAGAGGTTGAAGATCAGATGGTTGTAGGTGTGAAGCCTTATTTCTGGACTCTATTCTGTTCCATTGGTCTGTGTATCTGTTTTTGTATTAGTGCCATGCTGTTATTGTTACTGTAGCCCAGTAGTATGGTTTGAAGTCTGGTAACCTGATACCTCCAGCTTTGTTCTTTTTGTGTAGGATTGAACTGGCCCAATCTCTATTCCCATTGCTGCTGCCTTAGTTCAAGCCCTTTAATTTCTGCAATGGGCAGGTCAGGTTAGTAGTCTTCCTCCAGATTCTTTTCTTTCCCCATACATAGATTCAAACTATTTTCTTTGCCTGGAACACAAATGCTTTCCTGAATATGAATTTAAAGTCACATATTATTATAGTTTTTAGGTATACAGATTTTAGGCATTTTCATGGTTTTCATCAGAAGAACTGTTTGCCAGCACTGGGAGTGGCACAGGTGGCACCCAGAGATCTCATAGGAGATTAGATCTCTACAGAGCTTTTCTTACACATCCCCCTTCCCTCTGGGGGAAAGAGAGCTGTCAGTCTCTATTCTTTCTTGGCTGGACAACCCAGAGGAAGCCCCAGAGTTGTTCAGGGACTCATGCTGTCTTTCCAGACTCTACCTCAGCAAGTCATTTGTGTGGGCACCTCCTAGACTGTGTCATTATCAATAACTGCAGCCCCTCTATAATCTCATTTCTAAATGTTCCACATTCTACCCCCCTTCCGTGGTGGACACTGTTGGTGCCTTGCCCAAATCTCTTTATTTTTACCTGGCTGGTGCACACAGTTACCTGATGCTGTGCAATTTGGCTGTTGTCAGTTCATAGCTGACTCTTTCTCTGAAGAATTCTCTCAGCAGACTGGAGCTGTCTTACCCAGGAACACCTAGAATACGATGCTCTACCCCCAGGACAGCCCCTAGTACAGTGACCAACCAGTTTAACTGGAACTCTCCCAGTTTTAGCACTGAGTCTTGTGTCCTAAGAAACCCCTCAGTACTGGATGAAATGGGATGGTCACCCTGGCCCCCAGCCGCTGACTGGATGGATGGAGGTACATGAGTCTGACCCTGCTTCTACATGGGAAAATTCATGTTCCAGGGCTCCCCTTGGGATCAGGCAAAAGCTATACTTCAGCTGAGACCACCTTTTTGCTTATCCTCTCCTTCTTCCTGCTGCCTTGCTTGTCTCACTTCCTGATGTTTATCAAGAGAGCATTCCCTCAGTAAATCACTTCTACAGGAATCCCCATCTCCAGCTCTGCTTGCAGGGGATCTTACCTGAGACACTTTCCAATCTTTTCACATCTTTCTCTCTAATACCCTAATAGTCTTTGATCTCCACATGGGTCCATAGTTCATTGATTCTTTCTCTCTCCCTCTCCTGTTCTCCTTCTTAACTCTAATATATTCTTTTCATTTTCAAATTCCTACTTTTCTTCTGTTTTCATTCTCAGTTAATGGCCTTGCTTCCTGCTTCTCTTTTGAAACATAAAGGTCAGAAAACTATTTCCACAAACTCCTGCCACCACATTTCCCCTTCACCTACATCTGTGCCCCTTTATCGTCTTCTGTAGATCAGTGCTGTCTCATAGAAGTTTCAGGCATGATGCAAAGCTTCTGTATTACCCTGTCGTGTCACTGGCCACATGTAGTTATTTCACACCTGAAATATGGCTAGTGTGACTTAGGAGCTGAATTTTTTATTTTCCATTGTTTGTTCTCATCTTACTTGATCTGGCACCAACATTTGATGTAGTTAATCCTTCCCTCCTCTTTTAAATACTTTCTTTAGTTGACTTCCAGGATGCCACATTCCCTTGATAATTTTTTTAATTCCATATTCCTTCTCAGCCTCTTTAGCTGGTTTCTCTTCAACTGACTGACTTCTGAATGATGTCAGACCAGGGCTTAACCCTTGGTCCATTGCTGTCTGTTTATTCACTCTTTTGGTGACCTCATATAGTATCTTGGCCTTTTATATTTGGTGACTCCCAAATTTGTATTTGCAGCCTAGACTTTTTACCTGAGCCCCTATCTCCAACTCTTTAATTGACGTCTCAACCTTCTGTCTGTGTACTAGGCATCTTATGCTCAGCATGTCCCACACTCATCTTTTTCTCAAGGCTGCTCTTCCCCCAGATGTCCCTATCTCAGTTAATGGCCACTCCATCCTTCTCTTTACTTAAGGCAGAAATCTTGGGTCATCTGCGATGTCTTGTTTCTTCACACCCCATATTAGTATATTTATTAGTTATCTCTCGCTACATAACAAATTACCACAAACTTAGCAGCTTAAAACAATTTGCATTTATTATCACCATTTTGGTTGGTTAGGAGTCCTCTGTAGTCAAGGTGTCAGCTGGCCTGCATTCTCATCTAGAGGCCTGAGTGAGGAAGAATTCATTTCCAAGCTTGCTCAGATTGCTGGCAGAGTCAATTTCCTTGTGGTTATAAAACTGAGGGTCCCAGCTTTCTGCTGGCTATTGACTTGAGGCTGTCCTCAATTTACGGAGGCTGCCTTCAGCTCCTAGAGCTTACCTCAGTTCCTAGAGGCCACCTAGTTTCTTGTCAGCTGGACTTCACCAGTATAGCTGCTTACTTCATCAGGCTGCAAGGAGAGTCTGTAGACTGAGTCTGCTAGCAGGATGGATGTCACAGAAATGATATCCTGTCATCTTTGCCATATTCTGTTGGTTAAAAGCAAGTCATAGATCCTGTTTGCCTCCTAGGGGAGGGGGATTATACATGGGAATGAATACCAGGAGGTGGAGATCATGAGGACTACCCCAGTGTCTGTCTGACACGATAGGTCAAATCTTGTTAGCTCTACCTTTAGAATCTATCCCAAATCTAATCACCTCTAGTGCTGCCACCATGAGAAGAGAAGGTGAAATTAAAGGCATGAAAGTGATTATGCCTTCTGCTGTTATACTAGATGTTATGAAAGGCGCATATTTGCCATTATGTGATTTTACCCTAACATCCTCCCTCTCTCTTGACGCAAGAAATCTGGTAGTCTTTAGATATTTCCATATGTTCTCCTCCTCATACCATAATTTCATATTAAGTGCCCTCAACTCTGTCCCCAAATACATGTCATATTTATTCTTTTGTCTTTATGTACAGCCTGTTATTATCTCTTACTTAGTCTTCAGCAGTAGACTTCTATCAAATCTGTTCATTTCCATTTATTCCTATCAGTCAAATTGCTAAACATGAACTGGGGTGCCATTTAACAACGTAAATAGTATCATTTACTACCTTCTTAAAACCCATCAGTGTCTTACCTTTGGACTTAATGACCCTGCATGATGTGACCACTGTTTACCTTCCCAGACTCAGTCTTTTCCTATCCTGCCATCATTCACAGCACTCCTGCTCCACCAGCCTGCTTTCTTACCCGAAACATACAGTGTACATCATTACCTTAAGAGCCTGTGCGTTTGCCATTTCCTTGGTCTAGACTGTTCCTGCTATTGCGCCTCAGGGCTGGTGTCTTCTCACCCTTTAGATCTCAGTGTGGTTTTCCCACAGAGAGATCATCTCTGACCATCCAGTTCAGACATTTCTCCCTTTAGTTCTTTTTTATAGTCCTCATTTTCTTTATGGCATTGTTCGTGATTTTTAGTTATGTCAGTGCACACTGTTGTACTTGCTCATTGTCTGCCTTTGTGAAGTTCTTCAAGGTTAGAGACCTTGTTTACTCACTGCACTCAGAGCTTAGCTCATAGAAGGTACTCAGATAAGTATTTATCAAATAAACGGGAGAGTAAATGATTTATTTCCTTCACAAACGTCTGTTCCTGGAAATATTAATATCATCTATTACTTTTTTTTGACTGACATACTTCATGAGCCGCATTGTTTTTTGGATCATAAATTTTTTTTCCTACTTGATCAAAACATGATTTTCTACAGCTTTATTGGTTTCATGTAAATATTAGCATAGTTCCAAATAATGAACTTTCATGAAAAGTTAATTTAGTGATTCATTTTAGAAGTAGTGTTTCTGGAACTTAGATAACAGATTTTTTTTTTTTTTTTTTTTTTTGATACGGAGTCTTGCTCTGAAGCCCAGGCTGGACGACAGATTGTGTGGCACAATCTCGGCTCATTGCAAGCTCTGCCTCCTGGGTTCACACCATTCTCCTGCCTCAGCCTCCTGAGTAGCTCGGACTGCAGGCACCTGTCACCATGCCTGGCTAATTTTTTGTATTTTTAGTAGAGTTGGTGTTTCGTCGTGTTAGCCAGGATGGTCTCAATCTCCTTATCTCGTGATCTGCCTGCCTCGGCCTCCCAAAGTGCTGGGATTACAGTCGTGAGCCACTGTGCCCGGCCAGATTACAGATTTTATAGTCATTTATACTCTTACATGAAAGTATTTTAGGAATTGCTCTTACTGTCCATTTTCCTCACAGTCCTATTAATGCAAAACTTTTTAGTTGCATTAAAAAGCAGTTCCCATTTTGTTACCCAATGGTCCTCTTGTGAAATAAGTGGTCTTGGTCCCCTGGATTAAGATTGGCAGTTGAAACTTTATTACCAAATTTCTTTCTCTTGAGCAGAAGAGAGTTTTTTTTTTTTCTTAAGTTTAAAAAAATAATAATAAATCGATCAGCGGTCGACCAAATAAGCAAAATAACATCACCGAATCCAATAAATGTGAAAGCAGACTCATGGAACACCAAGTGTGACCTGACCTCTTACATACCCCACGGAAACCACACTGGGGGAGATTCTGATAATTCTCAGTGATAGCCCAAAATCTAGAAGGGAGCAAACTGAGTGAGCATTACTGTTTTTGACTATAACTAAAGAGTAGGAGACATAGTTGCTGGGGAGCATCAGGTGAAAAGGGGAGAAATTGACCAAGTGGCTGATTCCCTACCCAGAACTCAGGGCTTCTATTTAAATTAGAATATGATCTGAGCACTGTGGTAGATCACAAACAAAATCTCAGAGGAGAGGAGAGGAGAGTCTGGGTATTTTATTCTAACTGGCTACACACTCTCTTGTCTGAGCCCCAACATTTCCTTAGACTTCAGAAGAATAGATAAAACATATAATACCAGCCCTCACATTAAAGCTATGGAAAGGATGGAAATTCGATAAACTTGTCTTAGATACAGTGGGAACAGAATTAAGAAATCACCCACACTTTGCAAATAAAATGTCTGGAGAGCTATGTCTAACCTCAAACAAGATGAAAGAAGTGGCATCGTAGCTAGTGCAAATATTCTATGATGAAAAAATAAAGAGGAAGAAAGACTGCAGCCTGTAAAATCTAACAAGAACCCATCATGGAAGAAAAGCAGCTTCAAGGAGTAGAAGGAGATTCCTTCCAACTGCTTCGTGCTGCAGATCAACTTAATGAGAATTTGAATTCAGAAAAACAAGCTAGAAGACAAGAAGATGATAGTAACAGAAGAATTGGGAGGTTGTAGGCCTAAAGAAATACGAATAAATTAGATACAGCAAAAATTAGAATGAAAATTTAATTACTGACAGGTTAAGATAATTGTGTAATACATTGGAAAAAAAACAGAAAAGCAAAAACACATGAAGGACAGAAGGTGATCAAATAGAACTATAATTGCTGTCACTGAAGAAAAGAACCTAACACACGTAACAGATGGGTTGAAACAGCACAAGGCGTTTCAGAAAAATTCTATAGTTTCTCAATGACAAAACCTGATTTGATCAAGTTATTGAACTTTTTGTGCTTGGAGTGTATCCAAGAAAAATAAAGTCATTGAACTTTTGGGATAAAGGACAAATTATTATTTGGGAAGCCTCAGGTAGTTTTGTGCCGTCTGCTGGCTGGGGTCATGTCTAGTCTCCACAGAACCTTTGCCTTGGTCTTTAGGTGGCCCAATTGGGTTTCCAGTCTGTTATGGAGTTTGAAACCTGTACCCTGTGGTACATGATGGTCATTGGCTTGCCAGCCATCCTAGAGGGGTCGAGGGAGGTGCTGTCACTCTATGGAAGACATCTTTTTCTGAATTCCTGGAGTCTGTCTTTGTTATCTTGAATTCAGTTCCCAGAAGGAGCATTTATCTGGTACTTGGAATTTATGTTTTATTGCATCAGTATTATTGTTCTTGTCTTATTTTTTTTTTCTCTGTGTTAAGAGATGATTAACATGTTGTTTAAGTGTCTTTTGGCAGTTCACCTTAGCCAGATTTTGGGGACCTGCCAGCACGTAAGTGTCTCTGACAAGCTCTTGGTCTGACTTGTTGACAGAAGAGGAACAAAATACATTAAGAGACAGATTGGGCACTCTCTGTGCCATTTGACAGAAATGTGGAGACCTGTTTCTGTGCTTCCTCTGTTTCTTTCCTTTCTTTTAAACTTACAGAAATAAGCCTCTGGCTTGAATGTAAGGTCTATATGTGTAGTCGGAAGCTATATGAGTCCTCGGGAATCACCTTTCATAGCCAGAATTCCACAGAAGCTTTGCAGTGGTATGCAGTCCATTTTATAAAAACATATTCCTGGATGGATTTATTTCTATTTGAAGTAAAATACAATATCATGTCATAAAAAAATACAGGTTGCGGGTTGGCAGAGAAGAAGAGAGAAAGAGAATGAATCACACTTCTTCAGGCTTCCAGGCAGAAAAGCACACCATGAAAAAAGAGGGAAATAAGCCGGCCACAGACTTCTCCATAGCAACATTTTCAATACCAGCAGTGTTCAAGGGAGCAACATCTGCAAGGTTCTGGAGGAAAAAAAGGATGGTCCAAGAATAGTATACCCAGCCAAGGTGTCATTCTGCTATAAACCTAGAAGGTGGATATTCTCAAACAGGAGCGAATTCAGGGAAAGAGTACTATGAGCTCTTCTTAAACAAAACAAAACAAAAACCCACTTGACAGTGAAATCCAGAGGAGAATTGAAGAGCTCAAGAAAGAGAGGTTGTGGTAAAGGGACTGTGAGGAGATTGATTCAGCTAAAATTCAGGACTAAGTAACTGTGGAATTTTACTGATTGTAGTGCAAATGTTAAGGACCTGGACATTATAAAAATTTTATAATAAAAATTTGAAGAAGAAATGAGAGGAAATGTGAGTGCTAAGATTTTTCAACTTTTAAAGCAAGAAGTTAGTGAATTCTGTACAAAAATAAATTGCATATAACTTTAAATTCAACCTCTAAATAATTTTTCATGTATTTTTAAGTGTGTAATATTCCAAACATATGTAAAATAATAGTTGGTGCCAATTTATATGCAATTCATATTTAATAGTTGTCACCATTTGTTATATTTGCTTCAGATCATGTATAAAATATTTAAGATTAAAAAAAGGCTTAGAGAAAATTAACACCAATGGATTCACCACCAGATTAGAAAATAAAACACTGCTAACACAGTTGAAGTCCCTTGCATGTCCCTCCAAAGTCCCAGAGATAACTTGTATCCTGATTTTGGTATCAGTTGTTCATACTTTCATATGTATGTTATACTTTACATATATGTTATACATTATATATATATGAAAGTATAGTATAATTAATAAATTTTCTGTTTTTAGTCTTTATAGAAACAATGTTTTGCAGTGTGCTATTTCAGCTTAACATTGTTTTGAGATTTATGTTGACATATGTTGCTGGAGTATATTTTTCATTCTGTATACTTATTCTTTATGTTATCTGTGTATATTACCATTTATTTGTTGATTTTCAATGGATGGACATTTATTTGTATTCCTTTTTTGCTATTGTGACAAACTTTCTTATACCTTTGTGCTTATATATGATAATGTTTTTCAAAATGTTTTAAGTACTTGGAATATCCAGGTAAACTTTTATAGAAAAGAAACATTTACTTAAGGTATAGCAATATCATTTGTTTCTTTTTGGTTTATTTTTTTCTATTTTATGAAAATAATTAAAATTAACACTTTATTAACATTATCCTCTTATATGCATAGAAAGATGTCTGGAATGATGTTTACTTAATATTAATGATATTTATTTCTAGATCATGGAATGTGGGAACTTTTTAAAAAATTTTGGCTCTTTATTCTTTTATTGGTTACATTCTTTATAATGAACATGTATGCTTTTTATAAAAACGGTAGAGTTTTTCTCAAAAGCAAAAACTCAAAAGTGAGTACTTTAAGATATTGAATGTAATTATTCAATAATGCATGAATAAGTATAAATTGCATGGCAGGATTATACATTATTTTCTTTTTGGCATTTTTGTATTTTAAGGTCTTTATATTCATAGTACAAGTGAAATGCTATAATGGTATTCTGGCTTTTGAAAATGTATTTTTAGTCAATTATATAAAGAAAAGGAAAGGTTAGTAATTTTCTTTTACTTATCATTCCTTTTTTGGTACCTATCTTCAGTTTCTCATGATTAAATAAAAGTTATTGTAATAAAATTTTGAGTCCCTTGAGTACAGTGCAACCTTTAAATGATTTAGACTGTTTATAGAAGAGGTTTTCAGGAAGTGCTAGAACCTTCCAGTAGGTTTCTGTTCCTTTCTTTTCCCAGGATTTCATAGTCCAGCTCCTTTTCCCGAGCTATCACTTGTCCAGTGGGCCCAGGTGTCAGGTTTATTTGTGAAGGTGACAAGTGCCCCCCATATCCATGGTAGATTTAGTGAGCATCTCCAAAGTGGATTATATCACAAATAAAATAGTATGAGATGTTCTGTCTTATTAGTTGGGTGAAAATATGATCTGTTTGTTTTGTAGGTATGACCTTGCTTCTAGGGAGTGGCTTCCACTAAACCATTCTGTGAACAATGTGGTTGTTAGATATGGTCATTCTTTGGCATTATACAAGGTAAAGTATTTCCACTCTGTGCTAAGCAAGAAACTAAGTTTTCCTCAGTTACTTCATGTATTACATAGTTGAAAAGCTACCTCAGTGTTGGTTTTTAATTGGAGACAACTTTTTGTTTGGGGGCATTATAAAATTGCCTAAGTTTTAAGTAGAAATTAAAATGGAAACTTTTTTAACTCAAGAGATTCTAATGGTTTCAAACTGTAATGGGGTATTATAATTATGGCACTAAATGGTTAAAGATGTAGATTAAAAAGTGTAGATTAGCTTTTATTCTCATAAGCAAGTTAGCCAAGAATAGCTACACTGTAATGTGGCTGAATAAACATTTTCATTTCCTCATTTTTGTAGATAGATGGTAAGATGAGGCAACTTTATTTTTCCAAGTCCTTTTGTACTGTAAAAGATTCATGTGAGGAAGTCCAAGAAAACTGGTGAAGTATTAGAGATGTAAAATATGATAAGTTTTATTTCCCTTTTTCCTTTTTTTATCCTTTTCCTAGTAATTCACTGAAAGGTGCCCTTTGCTAACCCTTAAAATTTTTTTAATTTATTTTTTATTGAGGTAAAATATACATATATAATGGTACCATCTTTACCATTTTTAAGTGTACAGTTTGGTGATAATAAATACATTTACATTCTTTTTTTCCTTCTTCATTCTCCCCCGCCAGCCTGCCAGCCTCTGGTAACCACCAATCTATTCTCCATCTTCATGAGATCCACTTTTTTAGCTCCCACATATGATTAATAATGTGATATTTGTCTCTCTGTGCTTGGCTTATTTTACTTAACATAATGACCTCCAGTTCAATCCATGTTGCTACAAAATGACTGGATGTCATTCTTTTTAACGGCTGAATAATGCTCCATTGTGTATATATACACCACATTTTCTTTATCTAATTATCCATTGATAGACACTTACATTGATTCCATGTTTTGGCTATTATGAATTGCGCTACAATTAACATAGGAGTGCAGATATCTCTTTGGTATGTTCATTTCCATTCTTTTGGATATATACCCAGTATTGAAATTGTTGGATCATAGGGTAGTTCTAGTTTTAGTTTCTTGACTAACCTTTTTTAAGCTGAAAATAATATTGAGCTTTTGTTCTTCTCTGTTCTCAGATTTAATCTTTTCAGTGTTTTTTAAAATTTTGTTTGCATTTTTTTCCTAGGATAAAATTTACATGTATGGAGGAAAAATTGATTCAACTGGGAATGTGACCAATGAGTTGAGAGTTTTTCACATTCATAATGAGTCATGGGTATTGTTGACTCCTAAGGCAAAGGAGCAGTATGCAGTGGTTGGGCACTCCTCACACATTGTTACGCTGAAGAATGGCCGAGTGGTCATGCTGGTCATCTTTGGTCACTGCCCTCTCTATGGATATATAAGTAATGTGCAGGAATATGATTTGGGTAGGTATATTTTTTCCAGTAGATGCCTTTTGAACATCAGATTCAAAACCTCTAAGCTTATTATTTTGACTGTTTAGAAAGGTTCAACCTCATATTGATTCAGTACTTTATCTTGAAACATAGTTAACACTGGGCCCCCCGGGGGTGGTGACTCATGCCTGTAATCCCAGCACTTTGGGAGGCTGAGGTGGGCGGATCACCTAAGGTCAGGAGTTCAAGACCAGCCTGGCACCAACATGGTGAAACCCCGTCTGTACTAAAAATACAAAATTTAGCCCAGCATGGTGGCGGGCACCTATAATCCCAGCTACTCAGGAGGATGAGGCAGGAGAATCGCTTGAACCTGGAAAGTGGAGGTTGCAGTGAGCCAAGATTGCACCACTGCACTCCAGCCTTAGGGAGAGAGTGAGCCTCTGTCTCAAAACAAACAAACAAACAAAAACCAATATAGTTAACATTGATGTATTACCAGTGAAATACAGATTATTGATACTTCTATGTAGTATGTGTTTTTTACTGTCAGTTTGGTAAGGAGCCAAAGATGACCCAAAATACTCTGGGTATTTAAAATAAATGAAAAGAAAATGGTTCAAAACAACAAATATTGAAGAAAAAAAGTATTTGCCTAGCCCTTTAGAGATTGGTTTAGCGGAGTATGATTTACCCTTAATATAAAATATTTCCTTTGGTTAAATTTCATTGTATCTGTTGTTGTGCAGTAGGAATACCAGGTATAATTAACATTTTGTGAAAAGTAGGCCTATAAAATATATCTGTATATTGGTCACCAAAGGTTATAGGGAATTAAATGTTCATTTGAGTGAAATCTGATCTTTTTATTTTATGTATTGAGACAAGATCTCACTCTCTCACACAGGCTGGAGTGCAGTGGCACAATCATAGCTCACTGCAGCCTTGATGCCCTGTCCTCAAGTGATCCTCCCACCTTAGCCTCCCTATTAGCTGGGACTACAGGTGCGTGCCACCACTCCTGGCTAATTTTTTAATTTTAGTAGAGATGGGATCTTACTATGTTGCCCAGGCTGGCCAACATAGCAGGCTTCAAGTGATCCTCCCACCTTAGCCTCCCAAAGTGCTGGGATTATACATGTGAGCCACTTCGCCTGGCCCTGAGTGTTTTAAATTTAGTTAATTCTTTTCTTACATGGCATATTAGAACATCAGAACATAGAACAGACTGAAATTAGGCCACGTGGCTTTGTTACAAGTTTAGGTGACTTTCTTTAAAATATAAAGATAAAAAAGTATATGTATCGAGTCTCCTGAAATCCCTTCTCATGCCCTAAGCGCTTTGGACATTTTCAGTAGTAGAGAGGAGGAGCCTGCCATGCTTGCCTTTAACTGTTTTTCCTTTCCAGATAAGAACACGTGGAGTATATTACACACCCAGGGTGCCCTTGTGCAAGGGGGTTACGGCCATAGCAGTGTTTATGACCATAGGACCAGGGCCCTGTATGTTCATGGTGGCTACAAGGCTTTCAGTGCCAATAAGTACCGGCTTGCAGATGATCTCTACCGATATCATGTGGATACCCAGATGTGGTTGGTACTTTTTCTTGAGCTTTCACTTTAAGGTGTAAATTCTGTAGAGGCAGTTGTTGAGAAAATATTGTGCTATCTTTTTGTTTTTATGCCTGGCAGATAATTCTGTTCAGCATTGTATATAGAGAAATTGGGAAATAAACAGAGGGTAATAAAGTAGCTAGTATTTGTTTTGTTGCATTATTCTGTAATTCTGTAGTAGGTTGGTTATAAAATGCTTAGAGTTTTTTTTAACAAATGTAAAGCAAATTTGAGTTATGAAATAATGTAATTATAAAGCGATGGTTTCTCTTCTTTTTCCTCACCTATTTGATCCCCTGCTATGGATACTGTTTTATATTCTGTCATAAAAATTATCATTTTGAGTAGCTGTGGAATACTCCATTTTGTGGGTATACTGAGACTGTGCAGGTGAAAGTTTTGGTTTCTTTCTAGTTTTTATGTTATTAAGAAACCATTATGCATTAAGCTTCTGTCAATATTTCACATGATTTCTGCCCAGAAACTAGAAGTATGTAGCTACAGAGTGTGAAGAGTTTAAGGTTCTTAATATATTTTGCCAAAATTCTTACAGGTCTTTAAAATTATCTATATTTATTGTTGAAAAAGTTACTTATATGTAGGGAAAAATCTGGAAGGATTTGTACCTTCGGGTCTGAGGTTAATAAAGTGGTTGTGCTTGCATTAGCAGATACATAAATATTCTTTAAAAACTAACCTTGTATTTATTATTTCTAAATAAACTCAAAAGGACCATTCTTAAGGACAGCCGATTTTTCCGTTACTTGCACACAGCTGTGATAGTGAGTGGAACCATGCTAGTGTTTGGAGGAAACACACACAATGACACATCTATGAGCCATGGTGCCAAATGCTTCTCTTCAGATTTCATGGCCTATGACATTGGTAAGTTTCCCAAAACCACTTTAGCTTCAGGCATCTTTTTGTCTATAAGCAACATTTAAAAGGAGACCGAAAATATTGCCAGTTAAAAATGGTCAGGCCTGGCTAACCCGGTGAAACCCCGTCTCTACTAAAAAATACAAAAAACTTGCCGGGCGAGGTGGCGGGCGCCTGTAGTCCCAGCTACTCGGGAGGCTGAGGCAGGAGAATGGCGTAAACCCGGGAGGCGGAGCTTGCAGTGAGCTGAGATCCGGCCACTGCACTCCAGCCTGGGCAACAAAGCGAGACTCCGTCTCAAAAAAAAAAAAAAGGTCAGGCCATTTGAAAGAGGTCCAAATGGTATTTTTTATATTCCTTTGACTAATGTTACTTATCTGATAAAAATTATTTCTACATTAAATTCTTTTTGAAATAACTCCTGTTAATTGCTTGAATGCTAATTTTTGAGGCTGAGTTAAGGTGTCTAGTCTCTCCTTTGTAATGTTATGCCTACCTGGTAGTGTTACATAGTTGCAACCACCAGCATTGTGTTAAAATTGGTTCACTTACTAGCTTTATCTCATTCCCTAGAAAACTGGTTTCTCACATGGTCTTGGTGTAGCAATATACTAGACCGGAAGAGGGCAGTATTTGTTCATGCAAAGCAAATGCATACTGGATGATTTCTTTCATAAAAATCATCAGATGTTCATTTTAAACAAATCATTATTTTTTTGCTTGTGGTAAAATACACATAAAATTTACCTTCCTAAATATATTTAAATGTCTAGTTTAGTGATATTAAACACATTCATAATGTTATAAATCCATCACTGCCGTCCATCTTCAGAACTTTCTTCATCTTGTAAGACTGAAGCTCTATACCCATTAAACAATAATTTCCCATTTCTTCCTCCCCACAATGCCTGGCAACCACTATTCTACAGTCTGTCTCTGTGATTTTGACTATTCCAAGTTAGACATTTGTTTTTAACAGACATTTGTGTGCCAGCCACTCAGTTTGTACATTGAGAAGATCAGATGAATAACTTAAAGCCCTTAGCCTCAAAGTGGAAGAGGTAGAGAAATGAGCAGACAATAGAATTGCACTTCAGGGTATTTCTGGCTGAAAAGAATGTATGAGAGCACCTCTGAGTACCCTTTAAGTCATGGAGGGTAAGAGTGATGATAAACAGGGAACACTTTCTTGAAGAGGGGGCCATCCCCTCTGGATCCTTGGGAACACTAGGTGTCAAGTAGGTGAAGTTAGGCAGCACTCTCCAGTCAGAGGAAACCCACTTTGCAGAGACACAGAGATAGAAAAGACCAGCACATATTTAGGGCTCAGAGAGTGAGACACTGAGTGTGAGGTTGGCATGGTATAGCAGCACCAGTTGGTATTAGATCCAGAAGAGATGTTGCTAGTATGGGTCACAACAGAGGAAAATTAATCAATCTAGGGCATCTAGGAAAGGACTATTAAAAATTAGATAACATTTAAATTTTTTGAAATTTCGTTTTCCGCCTGTATTTTTCCATTTTATTTACTAAATTTGGGCAAATCAATATAGAAAAGAGTGGAAAATAGTTATGAAACCCATATGTTTTGCTGATACAAGCTTTGTAGAATGTAAAGTTTGCTTGCTTTAAAAAACATTCTTGGCCGGGCGTGGTGGCTCACGTCTGTAATCCCAGCACTTTGGGAGGCCAAGGTGGGCAGATCACGAGGTCGGGAGATTGAGACCATCCTGGCTAACACGGTGAAACCCCGTCTCTACTAAAAATACAAAAAATTTGCCAGGCATGGTGGCAGGCACCTGTAGTCCCAGCTATTTGGGAGGCTGAGGCAGGAGAATGGCGTGAACCTGGGAGGTGGAGCTTGCAGTGAGCCGAGATCACATAACTGCACTCCAGCCTGGGCAACAGAGCGAGACTCTATCTAAAAAAATAAATAAATAAAAAATAAACAACAACAACATTCTAGTGGATCAAACTGATAGGCAATCGGGTGAGTGATCCATATGTCATGGGTTTTGGGTGTGTTTGCTAGTCAGAATTGCGGTGTGATCCCGCCTTTCTTCCATGCCTTGTTGCTCTGCTGCTGCTGCATTTTAACCCAGAAATGATGTAACTGAGAAAATTGAGAGGCATGTTTTATGAGGTTCTCTTTGTTGTAGTAGTCTTCCCAAAGAAAATGTCAGGTCCTATTGATTAGAAATGGTAGTCCCTTTTAAAATACATTTTTCTTTCTCCTAGCCTGTGACCGCTGGTCAGTGCTTCCCAGACCTGATCTCCACCATGATGTCAACAGATTTGGCCATTCAGCAGTCTTACACAACAGGTAATTAGAGAAGTATTGCTCCTTTTCTTTTGTGTTTAAAATGAAAATAAAGGGCAGGGTACGGTGGCTCACGCCTGTAATTCCAACACTTTGGGAGGCTGAGGCAAGTGGGAATACGAGGTCAGGAGATTGAGACCATCCTGGCCAACATGGTTAAACCCCGTCTTTACTAAAAATACAAAAATTAGCTGGGCTTGGTAGTGCGTGTCTGTAATCCCCCCTACTTGGGAGGCTGAGGCAGGAGATCACTTGAACCAGGAATCCTGAGGCAGAAGAATCGCTTGAACCAGGGGGTCAGAGGTTTCAGTGAGACGAGATCACGCCATAGCACTCTAGCCTGGCAACAGGGCAAGACTACATCTCAAAAAAAAGAAAAGAAAAGAAAAGAAAAAAGAAAATGAAGTAAAGTGGAATTGGACTTAACGTATTATTCACAAGATTCCCTCATCCCAGTAGTTTTTTTACAGGATTATGTGGGTATAAATATTCTGATTGCTGTTTAAAATATTTGATGTGGAGGTGAATTACGTTAAATGCCATGTTTGTTGATCTGGTTTTGTTAGCACGCAAGAGCACGCTTTTTGGTGTGGTCTGAGTGCCTGGGCAACAAAAGTTACGTGCATGTCCTTGTCTTATGTCCTTTGTTATCATTTTTGGTACTCAAGTTTCTAGTAGTTGTATCTGAATTGTAAGGAGTTTGGAAAAGAGGAGAGAGGTCACTTCAGATGGGGGATAAGATAGGAGAACAGAGGTGGGGAGATTGTAAAGCTTAATATAGATCAAGTCTGTAGGCTCTGGATAATCAGAATTCTGCAGTTCATTGCATTGTATTGCTCAAAAATGCCTGGCCCAAACTACCAGAGCTCTTAAAAAAATCGGCCCTTGGAGAAGTCTCAGTCAAATAAGGGAGGTTTAGAGTGGCCACTCTACTTGCTCCTTACAGTGTGCTTTAGAGATTTTTAAGAAGTTAAACAGCCTAATCATGTTATTAATTTTTCTCATTCAGTTTCTGCTGTTATTACTGCTGTCTGCTTTCCCTTTTAAAATTCTAAGCCATATAAATCCTAAGGATATTTAAGTGTTAGAATGCCTGTATCATGTTAGAATTCCTTTGGCTTTTGAAATTTCTGTTGTAATGATTAAAGATGGATGAGGAAGGTAATTTAACTTAGATTAGGAAAGATGAGAGGCCAGGCACGGTGGCTCATGCCTGTAATCCCAGCACTTTGGGAGGCCAAGGAGGGCAGATCACTGGAGCCCAGGAGTTCAAGACCACCCTAGCAACAGCATGGCAAAACCCCTGTCTCTACTAAAAATACAAAAAAATTAGCCAGGCGTGGTGACAGGCGCCTGTAGTCCCAACTACTTGGGAGGCTGAGGCAGGAGAATCACTTGAACCCAGGAGGTGGAGATTGCAATGAGCCGAGATTATGCCACTGCATTCCAGCCTGCGTGACAGCGAGACTGTCTCAAAAAAAAAAAAAAAAAAAAAAAAAAAGGAAAGGTGAGAAAGTGACGTATTTTGGAGATGTTGTGAAGGAATAGTTGACACAATTTAGGAACTAGCTACTAGGAAAAGGTGCTATCTTTTATAAGGTAATTATTTAGTTTTTTTAGCAATGTGTATGGTTTTACTGTGAGAACATTTGACAGAGACTAAAATGGAAGGATTTCTGGCCACCTTGCTAATTTGATGTGTTATTATAAATCATAATCTGGGATTTCCTCAGTACAGAAGACCCTTAAACCTTTCTAGCAAGTGCCTCTTGAGATTTTCATCTGGAATGCAGTGGGAACATTTTGTCATTATCATGCCTGCGGGAGCCTGGCCTCAACTGTCTTCGTTTGTGTTCCTAGTTCTCCTAGCACAGGATTTGGCACGTAATAGACATTTGCTAAATTGCAGGTATTAGTACAGTAATAACTAGCAAACAAATGAATCTTTTATAAAACTTTCTTAGGTTTTATTCAAACTCAGAGTAAGTTGAGACTTTACCATAAAATATAATTTAACCATGAGTCAAAATTGGGAATACCTTGCCTGAGTTGTAATTTTTTTTTTAATGTGATTCCAGTGGTATGTTTGAACCCTGATATGTAAGTATCTGTGTGTTAAGATACGATTGGGTAGGTGGCAGGGGACCCTGAGGGAGGCCAGCTACTAAAAGGTCATAGTTTTGGTTTAATTTTATGAAATAATTTACTGAAAAAGAAACTGTGATTCACATCATTTCTTCATGCTTTAAGTGGGTCAACAGCATTGAGTGAGCTGTGCCTTCCTTAGTTGTCATTGAGGTTTTGAGGGAGGCAGGAAGGAGGAGGAGAGATGGCTGTGACACACCAGGGTGGCAGGAGATGCAGCTGTGCCTCTCAGTTGCCTGCTCCATGTGTCTCTGAGGGACTCTCCCTAACTCTGCAGAGCCCCTGTGCAACCAGATGGATTCACAATTGCTGAGAACACCAACTGTACTGGGAAGAGGAGGTTGCTTATTTGGTTTAAGCAACAAATTAACTAGTTGAATCTAGCCTGCTTAATGTGGTACTGAGTAAGCTGATAGCAAGGTTAAAAATGAAACCTGGCAGGCACGGTGGCTCACGCTTGTAATCCCGGCACTTTGGGAGGCCGAGACGGGCGGATCATGAGGTCAGGAGATTGAGACCATCCTGGCTAACACGATGAAACCCCGTCTCTACTAAAAATACAAAAAAATTAGCCGGGCATGGTGGCAGGCACCTGTAGTCCCAGCTTCTTGGGAATCTGAGGCAGGAGAATGGTGTGAACCCAGGAGGCGGAGCTTGCATGAGCTGAGATCACGCCGTGAGCCTGTTATCCCAGCAGTTTGGGAGGCCAAGGCCAGAGGATCTCTTGAGCCCAGGAGTATGAGGCTGCAGTGAGCTGTGATGGCGCCACTGCACTCCAGCCTGGGTGACAGAGTGAAACCCTAACTCAAAAAAATATATATTTCAGATTGCAATTTATTTTCATTATTCACAACTCTATAAAGTAACTATACACACTGAATTCTTGAATATTGAATTATTTCTGCTAGGGAAATACAGGGTTATGTTTCTGTAAGCATCTGATGACGACATCTTCATCAACGAGTCAGCATACATAACTTTCTTTTATGTGTGTTTCTATTTAAAAACATCTTATTTAATATATATTCTTGATTTATTAACATTGAGCTCACAGCCAACAGCACTTTAACTCATGCCTGAACAAAGCTTATGTAACACATGTACTTTCTCAGTAAGGCTCATCACAGCCTTCTTACACTTAGGAACACTAGACAGCACTTCAGCACTGCATAGGGGGCCATTTTCAACAGTGAAAGCACTAACACAAGGTACAAAAATACTTAAAATATGGCACTAGATAGATCATGGAAGGGACACTTGTTTGTAGTGCGAGAGTTGAAACAAGAAGGGAGAGCATCTCCTTGTTTGACCTTAGCTGGGAATATGCATGTGTGTCAAGTCCAATTTTTTGCCATTCTGTGCACACACATGCTGGTAACTGACCGTGAAACTACTGCAAGTATTGATTTTGGAGTTAGAAATAAATTGATTTTGGAGTTAGAAATAAATTTTGTAGGCCGGGCGCGGTGGCTCACGCCTGTAATCCCAGCACTTTGGGAGGCCGAGGCGGGCGGATCACAAGGTTAGGAGATCGAGACCATGGTGAAACCCCGTCTCTACTAAAAATAGAAAAAAAATTAGCCGGGTGCAGTGGCGGGCGCCTGTAGTCCCAGCTCCTCGGGAGGCTGAGGCAGGAGAATGGCGTGAACCCGGGAGGCGGAGCTTGCAGTGAGCCGAGATTGCGCCACTGCACTCCAGCCTGGGCGACAGAGCGAGACTCCGTCTCAAAAAAAAAAAAAAAAAAAAAATTTTGTAAGTAGGTGAATTTGCAAATATGGAATCTACAATCTGCAGATAATGGTCATGCTTCGCTGAATGTTAGGGATACGTTCTGAGAAATGCATCCGTAGGCAATTTCATCATTGTGCCAACATCGCAGAGTGTACTTACATAAACCTAGGCTACACATCTAGGCTATATGGTATGGCTTGTTGCTCATAGCTACAAGCCTGTGCAGCATGTTACTATAGTGAATACTGTAGGTCTTTGTAATGCAGTGGTAAGTATTTGTGTGTCCAAGCATATCTAAATGTAGAGAAGTACAGTAAAAATGCAATATGAAAGATAAAAAAATGTACACCTGTACAGGCCACTTACCATGAAGGCAGGGAGCATGCAGGACTGGAAGTTGTTCTGGGGAGGTCCGTGAGTGAGTGGACTCAACCCTACTGTGTACTTTGTAAACACTGTACACTTAGACTACACTAAATTTATTTAAAAATTGTTTTCTTCAATAATAAATTAACCTTAGCTTACTAGATGACAGCCATTGTACATGCCATCCATCATTGATGGAAACATCATTATCCAGCACCACATGACTATAATGAAGATTGGCTGTCTTTTAAAGATGAAGACTTAATTTTAAAAACACAGCCCCTATACAGTTATCACACTTTTAAAGTTAATTCTTTAAGCCAGGGTTGGTGGCTCACACCTGAAATCCCAGCACTTCGGGAGGCCAAGGCAGGAGGATTGCTTGAGTCCAGGAGTTCAACACCAGCCTGGGCAGCACAGCAAGACCTCATTTCTACTAGAAATACAAAAATTAGCTGGGCATGGTGATGCGCGCCTGTTGTCCCAACTACTCGGGAGGTTGATGTGGGAGGATTGCTTGAGCCCACGAATTTGAGGTTGCACTGAGCTATGATGGTGCCATTGCACTCCAGCCTGGGTAACAGAGCAAGACTCCATCTCGAAAAAAAAAAAGAAAAAAGTTGTTCTTTAATATCTCTCAGTGTCCATTCAGTGTTTACATCTCCTAATTGTCTCAATTTTTTTTTAAGTTTAGTTCCTTCAACTCAGAATCCAAATGAGATCCATATGTTACAATTGGTTAAAATGTCTCTGTAGTTTCTCTTAATCTGTAGGGACCCCATCCATCATTTTCCCCCTTACTTGTTAAAGAGACTGGGTTGTTTGTCCTGTAGAGTTTTCCATAGTCCAGATTTTGATTGTTGTATCCTGGGCTTTCATATAACATATTGTTCTCTCTCCTAAAATTACTGCAAATTAACTTGATCAGATTCTCTTCAGTATTTTGGCAAGATCACTTCATAGGTTTCTTTCCCTTTGTTTACCAATTTTCAAAATAATGTACTGATTTCTTAGCGTTGTCCAAAGATGACAAATTAGGTTTGTTTTTTTTTTTTCAGGAATGAGAGATGTATATCATTATGAACTCATGGATTTAAAAATATTTCATGTGTTTTAATCTATTGTAGTTTGTGTTTTTATTAAATTTCAAACATTTTCCATCTTTAGCCGATGAGGGCATCTTTACATTAGCTTTTGAGTTTATCTGATACTACCCTAGTCTTCTTTTCTTTCCAGTATAACAAGATCTGCTAGACTCATTGTGAACATTTCTTCATCCAGACATGAAATTAGGTTTTTCTCTAAAAAGTTCTAGTATTTAAGGGGTGACAGGAGGGAGAAAGAATGGTTTTTAGATACGCACAATCTAAACACTAGTTATATTCATTGCTACTGGGTTGGCTGTTGTTTCTAGGTTTTTTAAGAAGGCAGGTTAAAGAGAAACTGTAGTGTCCTTTTTTAAAAGGAAAATGAATTATATCTGCATGTTTGTGTGTTTGACCTTCTTGTTCCCTCAGTAGATAAATGACTACATTGTTTAAATACTTTTCTCTGCATTCCATTTTCCCCCTACATAACAGTATGTACTGGAGCTCACTCCATAGAAGTATGTAGAAATTTTCCTCATTCCTTTTACATCTGCCTAATATTTCATTATGTGGATGTATTATAGTTTGTCACATCCCCAACTGATGGACATTTGGGGCTATTTGAGTCTTTTGCTATTATCATTAACCCATTTATGCCTAGTGTTCCATTATTGGAAAGCTAAGCTTGTGGGAGTTATTTATATCCTACTGCTCAAGGTCATCCCCAAGGTCTGATTTTTCACACACACAAAAAATGTGCCCTCTGGCATAAGTGGTTAGTGCTGTAGTGAATAGCCTCATGTACTTCTTCTTGTATTTTTACTGTTCTGTCTTTGTGATAGACTTCTAGAAATGTGATTTCAGATTCAAAAAGTAAATGCAAAGTTTTGTTAGAGCTTGCCAAATCCCTCTGTACTGCACCATTTTACATGCCCAGCAGTAGTGTGTGAGAGTGACTGTTGCCCCATAGTCTCACCAATCCATATATTGTCAATTGTTTGTGCTGTTTTTGTTTTGCTAGTCTTATAGGTGAGAAATGCTACCTTAGTATAGTTTTAATTTGCATTTTTCTTGCACTGAAATTAGAGCATCTTCTCATATGTTTAAGGTCATTTGCATTTTTTCTCTGCAAACTGGCTGAAGCCCCCCTCTATGTTAGGGATAGTCCTTTTCCTATAACATAACTTGTAAATCTTTTTTTCATAGCATATCATTTGTTATTTTACTTTGCTTATAGCATTATTTCCATGTAAAACGTCTTTTTAATTCATATAACCAGATTTTTCAATCTTTTTTCCCCCTACCTTCTGGATTTTAAGTCTTTTTTTTTTTTTCACTCTCAGGTTATAGAGAAATACAGCCATTATTCTAGTACTTGTGTGTTTTGTTTTTTTCAGAAGGTGTGGAATTTATCCTGGAATATAGAGAAATAGATTCAATTTTATTTTTTTCCATATGTTTAGTTATCTTGATACCATTTACTAAAAAGACCATCTTTTCCCACTAATGTAAGATGCTGCTTTTACTGTCTACTAAATGCACATGTGTGCTTTTATCTGTTTATAATTGGGCTCATATCCATGTACCAGTACACAACTTTAATTGTACCAGTGTACAACTTTAATTACAGAGGCTTTTACCTGTGCTTTAAATTTGTACATTTTTATTTTTAATATTTAAAAAATGAAGATATAGAATTGCTGTTTAGTGTTAAAAGATGTGAGCATATCCTGACACTGAAATTTTCCAGTGCCTCATGGTTAAAAGTCACCAGGCTATCATGAGAACTTTTTAATACAGTAGCTATGATGAGGAGGCAGCTTATTGGAACTATTCTGGGTGGTTATAGGCCAGGATGAAAGGATGAATTTGGAAAGGAAGGGAACAAGAATATTTTTTAAGACCTTGAAAAATAGTTTCTTAGAAGACTTATGATATGTAAGATTTGTTTGAAGATTGTCTGTAAAAAGTGTATCATGGTAGCTGGATGTGGTGGCGTGTGCCTGTAGTCCCAGCTACTCAGGAGGCTGAGGCGAGAGGATCTCTTGAGCCCAGGAGTTTGAGACCAGCCTAGGCAACAGAGTAAGACCCTGTCTCAAAAAAAAAAAAAAAAAAAAAAAAAGTATAGCATGCAATTGTTATCTAAGTCTCTGGTAAATTTATTCTCTCCCTTTTTCCTCTTAGCACCATGTATGTGTTCGGTGGTTTCAATAGTCTCCTTCTCAGTGACATCCTGGTATTCACCTCGGAACAGTGTGATGGGCATCGGAGTGAAGCCGCTTGTTTAGCAGCAGGACCTGGTATCCGGTGTGTGTGGGACACAGGGTCATCTCAGTGTATCTCGTGGGCGCTGGCAACTGATGAACAAGAAGAAAAGTTAAAATCAGAATGTTTTTCCAAAAGAAGTATGTTTTTTTTTCCCTGCTTAGATTTTAATGAATTTGAGACCTCATTTTATCTGAATTGTGAAGGAACTTAGCATATGTATACTTTTTATGTTCACCTTATTATCCAAGATTATTCAGTAATAACTTGTAGAAAGTGTTTTTGGATATTTGAAAATTGGTTTGTAAACATCTCAAATGGGGACATGCCATGTGGCTCGTAGAGGCTGTCTGCGGGTGATGGAGACATAACCTTCTTGGCATTGCGTAGACTTTGCATACTGACCCCAGATCCTGGCTGTGGTTGCTCTGAGGCAGTGCCATCCAGTAGAACTTTATTTTTGATGATGGAAATGTTCTGTGTCTTGACTGTCCCGATATGGTAGCCACGAGCCACGTGGGCTATCAAATACTTGAAATGTTAATTTAATTTTAATTTAAAATACATTTGTGGTTACTGGCTACCATATTGGATGCAGATCTAACATTAAGAATGAAATTAGGAGAGTCAGCCCAGAAAAGCCATGTTGAAGTAAATTATTTTGGTGGAGAGAGGGAGAGCTGCTGTCCTTGCAAAGTATTTTTGTCTAGCTTCTCTAGTTGGATACAACAGTGATATCAAGACAGACAGTTACTGAGGATGGGCAATGATCCCTGCTTCTAGAACCTCCCCTCATGTTTTCCAAGCTGTTTTCTTCCTTCTACCTGCTTTGCTGCTTGTCCTGTATTGCTGTGACATAGAGCACAATGCAGTACAGTGAAGCGATATATTAAAAAGTTCTTTTTTATTTTATTTTTATTTATTTATTTTTTGAGACGGAGTCTCTGTCGCTCAGGCTGGAGTACAGCAGCACGATCTCAGCTCACTACAACCTCCACCTCCCAGGTTCAAGTGATTCTCATGCCTCAGCCTGTAATACTCAAGTAGCTGGGATTACAGTCACCTGCCACCATGCCCGGCTAGTTTTTGTATTTTTAGTAGAGACAGGGTTTTACCATGTTGGCCAGGCTGGTCTGGAACTCCTGACCTCAAGTGATCTGCCCCCCTCAGCCTCCCAAAGTGTTGGGATTACAGGCATGAGCTACTGTGCAGGGCCAGAAAGTTCTTTAAAAGGAAGAATGTTGTCTCTACAAGATATTTATTTACATCAACTAATTTAAAGTATGTTGGCTGAATTTCTTACTAGTAGGATTGGTGTTGCAGTTAACTTGAGAGTTATGATGGATAGAAGCAGCTTTCATTCCTGGAATGCTGCTCCAAGTTAAACTTTCACGAACATAAATTCTCAGTAAGAACACCCTGGGCTGGCCACAGGGGCTCATGCCTGTAATCCCAGCACTTTGGGAGGCTGAGGCACAGGGATCGTTTGAGCCCAGGAGTTCAAGACTAGCCTGGGCAACATAGTGAGACCCTGTCTCTACCAGAAACACAAAAATTAGCTAGGTGTGGGTGTGGTGGTGCACGCCTGTAGTCCCAGCTACTAGGATGGCTGAGGCGAGAACGCGTGAGCCCAGGATGTTGAGGCTGCAGTGAGGCATGATTATGCCACTGCACTCCAGCCTGAGTGACAGAATGAGATTGTCTCAAAAAAAAAAAAAAAAAAAACAGGCCACCCAGGTTCATTGGTGGACTGGTGGGTGCTGGAGAACCAAGATTACCAGAACTTAGCAGGGTTAGTTCGTCTCTTGAAAGGGATAAAATCAGTGAAATAGTTCATTTTTAAACCAAATTTTAAAAGTTCAAATTACATGTGCATGTTTATAGGAAATAGTGTTGAATTACCTTAGGTGTTCATATCAACCTATTTGCTGTCATCTCATTTGAGACTTCAGTTCCCTGTTTCACCCCACTTTCTGGGTGATCCCAATCCTTGGGATAATGACCAGGACAGCAAGAGCAGCCTAAGGAGCTGACTGCTGGGGTCTTTGTGAGGGTGGGACGTGCCTTTTCTTGTTTGTGAATTCCCCCATGTGTGGAGTTTTTGAGACTCTGTCTCAAAAAATAAATAAATAAAAACAAAATAAAAAAGAACTTTTTAATATATCGCTTCACTGTACTGCATTGTACACGAGATGGTTGAACAGATGAGACAACATGGTTGTGCAGCTTCTCTTTTTTTTTTTTGGGCGGGGAGGGGCAGAGTCTCACTCTGTAGCCCAGGCTGGAGTGCAGTGGCGCAATTTCAGCTCACTGCAACCTCCGCCTCCCAGGTCCTGATTCAAGCAGTTCTCCTACCTCAGCCTCCTAAGTAACTGGGATTATAAGAACGTACCACTATGCCCAGCTAATTTTTCTATTTTTAGTAGAGACAGGATTTCACCATGTTGGCCAGGTTGGTCTTGAATTCCTGACCTCGTGATCTGCCCGCCTTGGCCTCCCAAAGTGCTGGGATTACAGGCATGAGCCATTGCGCCCAGCCGTGCAGCTTCTCTTTTCTAGAGTCAACAGGAGATGCAGCAGGTCTGTAGTAGCCCAGAAGTTCTCAAACTTGCACTCTTGAATTTACATGTACGTACAAAATGCAGCTCAGCCTAATACCTCCTGCGCAGTTCTGTGGTGCTGCCTACTTCCTGTGCCCAAATTAGCCTTGCATTTATAACTAGGAGGAATGACTTGATCTCCTACAATATTTTGGCTCCTGGGCTTCTTTGGTGTTCGTTCTATTACTAGTTGATTTTTTTTTCTTGGAAAGAAAAGTATTCAAAGAGCCAGAATTTACTTTCATTATATCTTACAGTAGTTAAATTAACCTATCCTTGTTTTCACTTTCTGTGTACTTCTGTCTTTGGGGTACAAAGCAGTGTTTCTTTAGATTGTCTATCTCTAAATATTATTTTAACCAGAACATACCGAATATATTTTCCTGCCAGTTTCATTCTTCATTTTACTTCTTAACCATTGTTACGATTTTTTTTAACTTCAGTCTCAGATTGTGCTCAACTGAAGTTGTCCCAGTTGATGAGATTTTCTTTTCTTTGTAGCTCTTGACCATGACAGATGTGACCAGCACACGGATTGTTACAGCTGCACAGCCAACACCAATGACTGCCACTGGTGCAATGACCATTGTGTCCCCAGGAACCACAGCTGCACGGAAGGCCAGGTCAGAGGCTGTTTCTCAAAGATTTCAGAAAAATCCTAATTTGTCGTAGGTTTAGCTTTTATAGTGTATATGATATAAATAATGGCCCAGAGTTACTTTTCAAATGGGTTTCTATTTGGATTTTATTATCCCTGAGGTTTTCCTTCAGGAAGAGATGTTCTTTATATTCCAAGGGTCCTACTAGCCCTGGGAATTTGTTGTGTTTTAGAAGAAGGTAGGACTGTTGTCCGTGGGCATGGCCGTGACTAAGCACTGGATCCTTAGTTTGAGGCATCTAATAGTGCCAGGTTTACCAGTGCCAGGTTTTGATAGCAAGTTAGGGTTTGAGACTGAGAGTGAGTCAGGTGTATAGTGGCCCATATTGAACTGTGGAAATGACAGACTTTGCAAAATCTCCTTGTTTTATATCTTGGTTTGGCATAATCTCACTGCTCATCATATATAGATTTTTAAATTTAAGTTATAAGATGACCCAGGCTTTTATAGTTTTTGACAGCTTACAAGACTTTTTTTTTTTTGTCAGTCTCATGCAGTTCATAAAATAGAAAACTTTCAGACTTTTGAAGTGAGCATTTGAAAAGCAGCAAGTTCAACATTCCCATTTTACAGATGAGCAGGTTGAGGCATGGTGTTTAAAAGAGTGGGCTGCTTCCTTGCCAGTTAAAAGCATGTCCTTGAATAGAACATTACACTGTAGTGTTCCCACTGCAGAGCTACTGCAACTTTGTCTGTCTATCTATCTATCTATCTATCTATCTATCTATCTATCTATCTATCTATCTATCTATCTGTTTATCTATCTATTTATTTGCAGTTTGCTTCCTCAATTAGATTTTATTGTCTACAGTGTCCTGTTGGTCCTCACCATAAGTTCTCTCTGTGGATACAGGAGAAAAGCTTTTGTCCACTGTGTTCTAGATCTCCATTTTTAGGTATGAGAATTGCCCCAAGGATAACCCCATGTACTACTGTAACAAGAAGACCAGCTGCAGGAGCTGCGCCCTGGACCAGAATTGCCAGTGGGAGCCCCGGAATCAGGAGTGCATTGCCCTGCCCGGTAGGCCTTGCAGGGTCATCTTGGTCTGTGTGGGTCCAAGACTTCACCCCATTTCACCCAACACTGTGCAGCCTAGCTTGAACCTAGCAGAGGGGAAAAGCTAATTCTGTCCATTCATCCCCCACACCAGTATTATGAGGTATTTTGTTTTTAACTAAAATACGGTTCTTAAGTATTTCCTCTTACTGGCCTTTGAAATAAAGTGAAATGTCCTTCACTGCTCTGGAGAATTGAGTGACAGCTTGGTTCTGTATCACTGAGCCTGCTCCTTGTCTCTTTCCCATCCACCTTCAATAACCTGGGACTAGAACACGACGTCTCAGCAGCCAGTCTGCTGAGCACTTTATGGAGAGTACTTCTTGTTAACCACTGGGATTTATTTGTCGGCACCTGCTAATGGGCCTTCTCTGAGAAGGAGAGGATGGATATTTCTGTCAGCAGCACCTTTTAGGGGTGATCTCCAGCCCTGAAAACCTCAATATATGCTACTTCTGAGGTTCAGGATGATGAATTCAGGGCCTGAGACCAGCCAGCCATGATTGAACCACTGTGATATATTTGTTCAACCAGGATGGTCCAGGAAGGGGAACTTCCTTGGCTCTGCACAACATCTGAGCTTGTTCAGGGAAGTTGGTTTGGACCAGGCCCTTTTTGAATGTCCCTTGGAAATTTTTGATTCAGCTTGCAGAGTGGGACTCTTTTCTTTATCTCAGTGTGTCCCAAATTTTAAGGTACAGCAAAAGACCTGGGAATTTTGCGAAAGGCATATTCTGGTGCAAATGTGGGGTGGGACCTGGAGTGTGCGTTTTATCTGATCGACTGCTACACTGTGAGGAGCAAGTCTTTGTTCTTAAATGATCTCTTTCCCATGGTACCTTTCTTTTATCTCAGTGACTGTTACTGTTAATGAACATTGTTGATGTCTCCAGAGTACTTTGGTTCTGGTGAAGTTACTTTGTTCTTTCATTGTCTTCCAAGAAGCATTCATAGCTTCTGTGCAGTACCTTGTGTGGGTTCAGGATGATCACAGGTAGCAGATTACAAGCTTGCCTTCTATGCTCTAGCCATATCACTTGGGTTGTTTCCCAAGAAGGACCTTCTCATCCTGCTTTTGGGATGCTGTGTATACTCGATTGTACCTTCCACCTGATAATATGAAAATATAATGCAGCTTTTGGAGACTATAGATTTGTTAATTCCTTGATTCGTTTCCATTCTTGCAGTTTTTACCCCAGCCGTCCAATATGCATATTCATTTGTCTGCTCTTCACTTAGGATTTTAGTTTTCTTTCTAATTGTTCTTCAGAAGGAAGTGTACCAATCTAATATTGGCACCAAACTGATGTTTTCCTCTAAGACATAGGAGAAGTGACCTCAGAATATGCTTTTTAGGATCTGGGAGATATCACTAGTAAACATTTTTAAATTATTGTATTCTGCATTTGGCCCTTAATAATGTGTCAGAGGCTCCCACATCCTAATGAAGTGCCTAGAATTTAAATTAGAAAGGCCATTTCGGTATTCAGTAATTTGAACTAATAATATAGTAGTTTTGTCTGATTTCTAAAACTCTTTTTTTTCTCTTTTCCCCTTAATGAAAGAAAATATCTGTGGCATTGGCTGGCATTTGGTTGGAAACTCATGTTTGAAAATTACTACTGCCAAGGAGAATTATGACAATGCTAAATTGTTCTGTAGGAACCACAATGCCGTTTTGGCTTCTCTTACAACCCAGAAGAAGGTAGAATTTGTCCTTAAGCAGCTGCGAATAATGCAGTCATCTCAGAGCATGGTGAGTTAAAATCCTCAAAACTTAAGTTTCTGGTATCCACCTTTCTATCAAGGGCATTACTGCAACTTGCATGTGGAAGGCTGTGGATATGTGTGATGTGCTTGGCAAGAGGGGGAGTTCTGGTAAACACAGCCTGAGGGACTGTGGGTTTGTGCTGTCAGAGTCACTTCCTCATATGCCTTGTTAATCTTAAAATTTTTAATACTTTGTATATATAAGATCTATGAATAATTATTTGGGGGATGAATTGCAACATGTATATGTGTACATACTCTGGTGACATCAGTAGGTGATTTCATATCTGTTTTACCTCTGGATTCTGCTAGGGGAGAAGGAGATTCTCAGTCACTGATAATTAGCTAGGTTGGATTAAATCACCTGAGTTCCTTGAAGTTAAGGTATTATAATAGTGCATAATACTGTATAATTACCATTAAGAAATATACATCTTGGCTGGATGCGATGGTTTACTCCTGTAATCCCAGCACTTTGGGAGGCTGAGACTGGTGGATCACCTGAGGTCAGGAGTTTGAGACCAGCCTGACCAATATGGTAAAACTCCATCTCTAGTAAAAATACAAAAATCAGCCAGGCATGGTGGTATGCGCCTGTAGTCCCACCTACTCAGGAGGCCGAGGCAGGAGAATTGCTTGAACCCAGGAGGTGGAGGTTGCAGTGAGCCAAGATCACGCCACTGCACTCCAGCCTGGGCGACAGAGCGATACTCCATCTCAAAACAAAAAAACAAAACAAAACAAACGAAATGTACATCTGCTTGGGTCTTTCACAGCCCAACCATCTCAAAAGAAGAAAGTACCTTCTTGTCAAGAGTTTCTAAGCCCAGAAAGGCTCAGTTCTCTGCCTGTCCACCCAGTGCTCTCAGGGGGCTTATAGTCGATATTGCATGATCACATTTTGTCATTTTTAGTCCAGTCATAAATTGTGATGCTACCCTCAGTTAAGTAGACTCATAAAACAAAGTTCTTTCAGCAGTTTCAGCTGTGGTACAGAAACATTTAGTGGAAATGTTCTTATCAAGCAGGAAGGAGTTGAGGGCAACACTTCTTTGGGTACAGCCTTCTTCATGTGAAGGTATGGAAATGTGGCCTGGGTCTTGGCTGCATGTGGCCTCTGTGTACCACCTATAGGGCCATTCTGAGACTGGTGGGAGGTGCCCTGTATTTACTTTTCTCCAATTAGTCCGTTTTTTCAGTGCAACTTCATTCTGAGACTGGTGGGAGGTGCCCTGTATTTACTTTTCTCCAATTAGTCCCTTTTTTCAGTGCAACTTAGATAGGGTATAGACACTCAAACATTGGCGACATATTCTTAGTGTGTTTACCTCAGGCTACTGTGACCACATTTGGCATTTCATAATATTTTGATAGCTTTTTCAGATTTCAGAATCTCCATTGGCAACTGTCTCTGTTGTTTCTCTTCCCATGTCCAAATGTGGGTCTCTTCCAGCATTCCATCTTTGGCTGGTAGCTGACCTTTCCCACAGTCATTCGTTTCCTCAGAAAATGGATGGCTCCCAGCTTTGTTGATTACCCTGGCATCTCTAACAATGACTCTCAAGTCCACAGAAGTTAAAAGGGTTCAACCAGGTGGCCACAGATATACTTCTGGTACCCTTTCTCTCTTCCTTAGGTTTTCTAACTCTAAACGTTTCTAGGTATTCTAATCTGCTGTGGCCATGTTTATGAACAGAAATTCACAGTCTTAATGATAAGACTGACAGATGAGGGACAACTGAAGTGTAATGACCTTCCACAGCTATACCTCTAGATGTAGCCCAGTTGGTAGAGCCCAGATTTTTATGGAAAAATAAGAAAGGGTACCCAGCCTAGCCTTTAGGACAGAGACTGGCTGGTAGAAAGCTGGAAGGAGGTGACCCCTGAAGGTGAGAAGGAGTGAATTAGGATGTCGAAGAGGGAAGGGCTTCCTGTGTATTAATTAGTACCCCCATGTGTGAGATGTAGAGGGAGATGATTAAGGGAATGGCTCTTTGAGTGAGCTGCAGGTAAGTTTGCATGGTTGACTGCAGGCTGGATGGGAGGGGGTTTTTATAGTTGAGCTTCAAGAAGGAACCAAGGCCAGACCCTGCGAGGCTGTGGCTACTGTAGTAATGGATCTGAGTTTTATCATGAAGGCAAAGAAATTATTGAAGGGCCTTTAAAAAGTATTTTTAACTTTCTTTCTTTCTTCTGGATCTATTTATTTTTTAGGTCTTTTAGTAGGCATGTGTATTTTTTCCTCTCAAAAATGGAAATAGACTGGGTATGGTGGCTTATGCCTGTAATCCCAGCACTTTGGGAGGCCAGTGAGGGAGAATTGCTTGAGCCCAGAAGTTCAAGACTAGCCTGAGCAACATAGGGAGGCCCCGTCTCTACAAAAAGTTTTTTTTAAAAAATTAGCCTGGCATGGTGGCGGCACATACTTGTAGTTCCAGCTACTTGGGAGGCTGAGGCAAGAGGGTTGCTTGAGCCCAGGGATTTGAGGCTGCAGTGAGCTGTGATCATGTCACTGCACTCCAGCATGGGCAACAGAGCGAGACCCTGTCTCAAAAGAAAACAAAGGGAGGGAAATACAGTATATCTTTTGTTTTATAACTACCAAAATTAGGAATACTTACCATTCCTTTGCTAAACTTTTTATTTTGATTTTTAAAACTTTTTAAAAATTGCAATGAGAAGGAAATTTCCGGAGAGCAGAAGACAGACTATCCCAGGTGTCACTGTCCTATTATTCCCTATAAAATCCAGTGCCAGGATGGATGAATGGATAAAGCAAATGTGGTGTAAGTTGAATATCCCTTATCTAAAATGCTTTGGATGAGGAGCATTTCGAATTTTAGAATATTTGCATTATACTAACCAGTTCAGCATCCCTAATCTGGAAATCCAAAATGCTCTAGTGAACATTTTCCTTCAGCGTCATGTTGGCACTCAAAAAGTTTTAGATTTTGGAGTGTTTTGGATTTCAGTTTAGGGATACTCAGCTTGTGTTTGGGGATAGCCATCTCTTCGTATAGGTATTTCAGAACTTAAATACTGCTTGCTATAATTTCTGTGAATTTTACGATATATTGTCTTCTCTGAGCTACATTTTTATCCTTTATAAAATGGCCATATTGAAGTGATGATCTGTCCTAATCTACCATGGCTGAGTCAAGGGATAGAGAGGTTTTCCTATGTCTATGGGGTATACTTAACTTGGTGGTTTTTATCTAGAAGCTTGTTTTGGTCAAGATGTTGGTTATATTCAAGCCAGGCATGGTGGCTCATGCCTGTAATCTCAACACTTCGGGGGGCCGAGGTGGGAGGATCGCTTGAGCTCAGGAGTTTGAAACCAGCCAGGGCAACATGGCAAGACTCCATCTCCAAAATTTAAAAAAAAAAAAAAAAAAAAAAAAAAAGTTAGTTGTATTCATAGTTGTGTCTCTTTTGCCTTTAGTCCAAGCTCACTTTAACCCCATGGGTCGGCCTTCGGAAGATCAATGTGTCCTACTGGTGCTGGGAAGATATGTCCCCATTTACAAATAGTTTACTACAGTGGATGCCATCTGAGCCCAGTGATGCTGGATTCTGTGGAATTTTATCAGAACCCAGTACTCGGGGACTGAAGGCTGCAACCTGCATCAACCCACTCAATGGTAGCGTCTGTGAAAGGCCTGGTAAGTTCACGGGTGAATTAGGTGGTATTCAGAGTTTAATGTGAGAGAAACCATAGGAGGCATAGTTCATTGCTGAGATGTGTGAAGTAGTGATGAAAACAGATGAAGTGTTGATTTCAAGCATGCAAAGCAGAGTATAACCCAGATTTCAGAAGCAGAAGGAAATATTCTGGGACCCTGAATAGTTTTTATTATAAACAAAACCAAAAATAACTAACTATTCAAAGTAATAGTAACCTACTCAAAGAAACTGATATTTTAATTAACAATGAGATTGATAGGTTTATTGACCAGAAAAAGTATTGAGAATTGCTCTGAAAGGTAAATATACTGGTGTTGGCAGAGAAATGCAGTGGAAGAACAAACAAAGAAGGAAAATAAACACAAGGAAAAGATTAGTAAAGCAAGTCACTACAGGGACAGTGTTCAGAAAGGTAGTGTCACCAGGGAGAAAAGTGATGAGAGCAGTTCTGTAACCGAGGACAGAGGCAACCCAGAACTGCGCGAGAGCTATGGGAGAGTACTGAGCGGACAGACACTCAGAGTAGCTTCCCAGCTTTCAGTCTCTCTGGGCTACATTTCGGCTAACTAAAGGCAGGCCCAGGGGTAGCTGCTGTGGCATGAAGACAACCCAAAACGAGCCTCCTCCTCCTGCAGAGCAACTCACAAGCGGTCAGTGGAACTGTGGGTTATTTTGGGAGGCTGGACTCCATTTGCATTGTGTCCAGTTTTGGGAAAATAATTTGTGAGGAATTACAGAGGTGTAGAAGAGAATTCATAGCATTGTAGAAGTCACCTTAAAATATGATTTTTAAACTTCTCTAGGGGAGCTGCCAAGCAGCCTTTCAGAATTCTGAATCCTTTGGTGAATTTAATGAATGCCGTGGTCCTTCGTCCCTCCAAAATTGCAAACATGAGATTTTACATACTCAAGTGGGTTGTAAAACCCTAAAGTTCATCCTGGGTCCCCAAACTCTAAGGGGCTTACAGCCCTACTTTTATGGAAAGATTCACTGTTTCCTCATCTTTGTCCTTGATGCTCTTTGAAAAGAAAATTTATTTTTTCCACAAGTATGTAAATACACTTGACTAAACAGTACTTGATGACTTTTACTGTTTTCTGTTTTCTCTCATTTAATTGATTGCATGGCACATTAATGGGTCATCACCCACATTTGAAAAGTCTTGACCGGGCGCAGTGGCTCACGCCTATAATCCCAGCACTTTGGGAGGCCAAGGCGGGTGGATCACGAGGTCAGGATATCAAGACCATCCTAGCTAACATGGTGAAATCCCATTTCTACTAAAAATATAAAAAATTAGCCGGACATGATGGCATGTGCCTGCAGTCCCAGCTACTCAGGAGGCCAAGGCAGGAGAATCACTTGAACTGAGGAGGCGGAGGTTGCAGTGAGCCAAGATTGTGCCACTGCACTCTAGCCTGGAGACACAGTGAGACTCTGTCTCAAAAAAACAAAAAACAAAAAAAAAAAGAAAGAAAGAAAAGTCTTTAACCTTAGCAGACATGGTGGGGGCTCTAAGTGTCTCTCTTGGGTTTCATTCCCAGCAAACCACAGTGCCAAGCAGTGCCGGACACCATGTGCCTTGAGGACAGCATGTGGAGAGTGCACCAGTGGCAGCTCTGAGTGCATGTGGTGCAGCAACATGAAGCAGTGTGTGGACTCCAATGCCTACGTGGCCTCTTTCCCTTTTGGCCAGTGTATGGAGTGGTATACAATGAGCACCTGTCCCCGTAAGTGAAAAAGGGAGCCCTAGGCACTTATGCATGCCCTCTGTATAGGCAACAACTCAGACATGGGGCTGTGCTCTCAGCCTCTTAACATTTTAGAAACAAGACTGGACATGACCTCTGCTCAAACCTGACCGGAGACTACCATCGAGACATTGCTGCCTGATGACAACCGTTATACAGAATCAGGCACATTGACAGTAAATAAATGTAGGACAGATCACAGAGTACAGAAATAACTTGTCCATCCTCAATGGCATATTGCGCAATCCATGTAATAGCTCCATATCTGAATGTCCTAATTTGTAAAGTAAATGCTTTCCAGTAGATAACCTCTAAGGCCCCTTTTGCCTTCAATATCCTGGAATTGAGAAAGGAGGGAAGGGTCATCTCTGTTATGTATTGGGCAAAATACTGGGTTCTTTACATTCGTTATCTCTTTTAAATAATCAAGACAGAATAGTATTTTTGACTCATGCCAGTTGAATAGTCTGTTAAAGAAAAATGTAATTTAAATACAGTGAATTCAGATCTACCTGTGATAGTCAATTGCAACTTTTTTTTTTTAATAGCTGAAAATTGTTCAGGCTACTGTACCTGTAGTCATTGCTTGGAGCAACCAGGCTGTGGCTGGTGTACTGATCCCAGCAATACTGGCAAAGGGAAATGCATAGAGGGTTCCTATAAAGGACCAGTGAAGATGCCTTCGCAGGCCCCTACAGGAAATTTCTATCCACAGCCCCTGCTCAATTCCAGCATGTGTCTGGAGGACAGCAGATACAACTGGTCTTTCATTCACTGTCCAGGTAAGATGCTTTGCATATCCAAATTCAAGTGTTTCATTACCGATTTATGAAGAATAAAACCTTGAAAGCTACGTTGTGTGTATGTAACTCCCTCCCCTCAGCCCCTTCCTTCTTCCTAATGATTGGTACAAGAAGGAATAGACGAGAAGGTGATCTAAGGCCTGACCTGGACCTGCTGGGAGTGGTGGTGGGTTTCTAAGAAACTAATTCTAAGAAATTGACCTTTGATTCAGACTTGAAGTGACCACTCAGCAATGTGTCTGTCTGCTTCTAGAACAACTGGGAGAGGCTGGGCTGGTGCAAAGACTGCTCAGATTAGCGGTCAAGAACTTCTCTAAGAGCCTGTCAGACAGTGCTGTTGACAACAGGGCTCTTTGTGAGTACTTTATATGGGGAAGTCCACTGTAAACAAAGGTTAAAGGCCAGAGACAGACTGGGAGAAAATACCTGCACTGTATGTAACAACTGATGATCATCCAAAATATATAAACTCCCACCCTCCAGAGAAAAAATAAAAAGCTAAATGTGAACCCAACCGAAAAAGTGGTTATTGGAGATAAAGAAACCATTATCAGAAAAAGAAATAGAAGAGGAAAATGTAAACTAACACCAGGAACCAATTTTTTGTCTACTAAACTGGATCAAATTTTCCATGTTCCCTTTTTTCCATACTAAGATTTGGGGGATCTGCAATTCTATTTTTAATCTACTAGGAGTTAACTTTTTAATGAAATATTTAAATCTCTGCTTTTTCATTAATATCAAGAATGTATCTAGTAAAATGACAACCCAGAGAATGGGAGAAAATATTTGCAAATTATGTATCTAATAAGAATCTAATGTCCAAAACACATAACTCTTAAAACTCAGCAATAGAAAGACAACCCAATTAAGAAATGGGTAAAGGATTTAAATAGACATATGTCCAGAGAAGAAATACAAATGGCCAATAAGCATACGAAAAGATACTCAGTATCATTCATCATTAGAGAAATGCAAGTGAAAGCCACAATTAGATACCACTTTACAACCGCTGAGATGGCTATAATCAATAAATCAGTTAGTAACAAGTATTGGCAAGGATATGTAGAAATTGGAACTCCCATGCAGGTTGGCAGGTCCTCAGAAAGTTAAATGTAGAGTTATCATATGGCCCAGCAGTTTTACTCCTAGGTACATACCCAAGAAAATTGAAAACATATGTTACCCAAAAACTTATATATAAATGCTCATGCTTATAGCATCATTCTCATAGCCTCATGCTCATAGCAACATTATTCATAATAAGCAAAAGTGAAAAGCCAAATAGCTGGCGATTGGATGAACAAAGTGTTGTATATTCATACAGTGTAATATTATTTGGCAATAAAAAGGAATGAAGTACAGACATTTTTTCTGACGTGGATTACCTTAAAAAAGCATGCTGTGTAAAAGAAGCCAGGTGTAAAAGATGATGCATTGCATGATGCCATTTATATGAAATGTCCAAAGACAGTAGATGTTTAGTGGTTTCCTAAGACTGGGCATGGAAATGAAGAATAATAGGCATGAAGTTTTCTGGAGTAGCTGCAGCATTTTATGCCCTCACGTGCTTGCCAATACTTGTTACTGACCATCTTTTTAATTAAAACTGTTCTAGTAGATGAGAAATGGCATCTCACTGTTGTTTTGATTTGTATTTTCCTGATAACTAATGAAATTGAACATCAACTTCATTAGTTAGCCTTTTGTATATCTTCTTTAGAGAAATATATATTCAAATTCTTTGCCCATTTTTCAGTTATGTTATCTTTTTTATTATTGAATTGTAAGAGTTCTTTATGAATTCTGAAGTCCCTATTGGATATATTATTTGCAAATACTTTCTCCCATTATGTGGGTTTCTTTTCACTTTCTTAATATGCCTTTTGAAATCAGAAGTTTTCAGTTTTGATTAAGTTCCATGTATCAATATTTTATTTTATCCCATGTGCTTTTTGGTATTGTATCTAGAAAATCAGTGCCCAGAGCAAATCACATAGATTTGCTCCTAAGTTTTCTTTGAAAAGTTTCGTAGATTTATGTCTTACGTTAGGTCCTTTATCCATTTTGAGTTAATTTTTGTCTATGGTGTGAGGTAGGGGTCCAAACTCTCTTTTTGCCTGTGGATGTGGTCCCTGCACCATTTGTTGAAAAGACTTTTTTTTTTTAACCGTTGAATTTTCTTGGCACATTTGTTGCAAATCAGTTGGCTGTGAATCTAGGAACTTATTTCTAAGCTCTCATTTCTGTGCTGTTGACCTGCGTTTCTCCTTTTGCCAGTATTACACTGTTTTGATTACTGTGGCTTTGTATAAGTTTTGAAATTGGGAAATCTAGTTCCTCCACCTTTGTTCTTATTTTATAAGACTGTTATAGCTATTCTGGGTTTCTTGCATGTCCATATTAATTTTAAGAAGAGCTTGCCATTTTCTGCAACAACAAAAAGCCAACTGGTTTGATAAGGTTTGCATTGAATCTATTGACCAATTTGCGGTGTACTGCCAGTTTGTTTGTTTGTCTGTTTGTTGAGACAGGGTCTCACTCTGTCACCCAGGGTGGAGTGCAGTGGTGCTATCTTGGCTCACTGCAACCTCCACTTTCCCAGGCTCAAGTGATTCTCCTGCCTCGGCCTCTACAGTAGCTGGTACTACAGGCGTGAGCCACCAACACCCGGCTAATTTTTGTATTTTTTTAGAGACAAGGTTTTGCCATGTTGCTCAGGCTGGTCTTGAACTCCTGAGCTCAAAGCAGTCCTCCTGCCTCTGCCTCCCAAAGTTCTGGGATTGCAGGTGTGAGCCACCACGCCTGGCCTTTGCCATCTTAACAAGGTTAAATCTTCTAGCCTGTGAACCTGGAATGTCTGTTTACCTCTTTACTTTCTTTTGGCATTGTTTTGTAGTTTTCAGTGTACATCATTGTCTTGTTCCCTTTTTTAGGGGAAAATAATTCAGTCTTTATTAAATATGATATTGGTTTAGTTTTTTTTTATACATACCCTTTATTGGGTTGAGAAAGTTTCCTTCTATTCTAGTTTTTTGAGGGTTTTGTAATGAATGAGTGCTAGATTTCGTCACTTTTTCTGTGTCTACTTAGATGATCATGCAGTTTTGTTCTTTATTCTATTAATACTATGTGTTACACTAATTAAGAATGTTAAGCCAGTTTTGCATTCCTGGGATAAAGCCCATTTAGTCATGATGTATACTTTTTTATCATGATGTATATTTTTAATCTGCTATTGGATTCTATTTGCTAGTTGGGGATTTTGTGTCTGCATTCATGAGGGGGATATAAGTTTGTGGTTTTCTTCTTTTGTGATTACTGTCTGGCTTTCATAGCAGGGTAGTACTAGCCTCTTAGAGTAAGTTGGAACATACTCCTTCTCCTCTGTTTACTGGAAGAGTTCGTCAAGGATTAGCATTAATTATTCTTTGTAATCTGTGTTTCTCTAGGAATTTGTTTATTTCATCTCAGTAATCGAATTTGTTAACGTACAGTTCATAATTTTTTTTTTTTTTTTTTTGAGACAGAGTCTCGCTCTTTCACTCAGTCTGGAGTGCAGTGGCATGATCCCTGCCCACTGCAACCTCCGCCTCCAGGTTCAAGTGATTCTCCTGCCTCAGCCCCCCAAGTAGCTGAGACTACAGGCACACGCCACCACTCCTATCTAATTTTTTTGTTTTTGTTTTTGTTTTTAGTAGAGACAGGGTTTTACCATGTAGACCAGCACGGTCTCGATCTGACCTGTGATCTGCCCACCTCGGCCTCCCAAAGTGCTGGTGTGAGCCACCGCGCCCAGCCAGTTCATAGCATTTTCTTGCAAGGGGTTGCTCTTTAGCAATACGTAGTCACGTATTTAACCTGTGAAGGATTTTTTTTTCTGTCTAATTTGGTTTTATTCATTCTTTTACATTTTGCGAGGGCTCTAAATATTGTGAGGTTTTTTTTTTTTTTTTTTTTTTTTTTAAAGAACTTGCTCTCTTATATTGTGGATGCAATAATTAAGCCTTGTTGAATGTACTAAAATTTGTATTTTTCATTTTCTCATATTTCTTCCATTAACCCTTCCTTCAGGATTTGTTGCTGTGCATGTTTATCCTGGTGGTATTTGGAGATTGAGAATTTTCTTATACTGGTTAATCCTCAAGGTTAATTTCTATTAATAACTAAATGTGTAGATCTGTCAGTATTGGTCGGTGTGGTTAGGTGTGTGCTGAGCTGTTGTAAAGGTGAAAAAATGCTGAGCTGTTGTAAAGGTGTGGTATGATGTCCTAGAAAAGCTAGCAAGCCAGCCTCAGGACACTCCAGCTCTGGTCCACTTGGACTGTTGTTGACTGGTGTGTGCTCCTCCCTCATGGGAAGAAGGAAGGAGCAATGGACCTGGGTGTCTGGGTGCAATTAGCATGTTCATGGATGTGCCAAGTGCCTCCCAGTCTTGGGTGGTAGGGCCACCTAAAGATAGCTGGCACATTGCCTTGAGTCTGCCTGCCTTTCTTTCTTTCTTTCTTTCTTTCTTTCTTTCTTTCTTTCTTTCTTTCTTTCTTTCTTTCTTTCTCTCTCTCTCTCTCTCTCTCTCTCTCTCTCTCTTTCTCTTTCTTTCTTTTCTTTCTTTCTTTCTTTCTTTCTTTCTTTCTTTCTTTCTTTCTTTCTTTTCATTCTCTTCCCCTTTCCTTCCTCTTTTCTCTGTTTTCTTTTCTTTTCTTTCATTTTTGAGGTGGAGTTTTGCTCTTGTTGCTCAAGCTTAGGTGCAATGGTGCTTTCTCGGCTCACTACAACCTTCGCCTCCCGGGTTCAAGCAGTTCTCCTGCCTCAGCCTCCCAAGTAGCTGGGATTACAGGCACCTGCCACCACCCCTGGCTAATTTTTTGTATTTTTAGTAGAGATGAGGTTTCACCATGTTGGCCAGGCTTGTCTCGAACTCCTGACCTCAAGTGATCCACCCACCTCGGCTTCCCAAAGTGCTGGGATTATAGGCGTGA